CCGAGCGCCATCGACTTGCACAAAAGAAGTTAAGTGTAATAGTAGCATACCTTGAAGAGCCTCTGACCGGTCTTTGCCATCCTGGCCTTACGCTCATTCTGCTTTGATGCATGTAAGAGTGTCTGCGTACGTCTCTTACCAGACTGCATTATCACAGCTTTCGACACCCCACCATATTTTGTCACCTTCCCGCCTACCATTCCTCTACCAGTCCTAGCGTCAAAGCCCAGATATGCCGAGCTCGAGTCAATAAGGTGAATCACAAGCAGATCGAGTAGAAATACAAGCACGTATCATAGAGCAGATGAGAGCGACAATGGACGTGGTCCGAACACCACGTGCCGGACCGTCCGGCAGTGGGTTCGAAGATCTAACGACGGATCTAGGACGGGACGGCGGGCGTTCTTATATAGATCTGTGTTGTTGCTGGCGTCGCCGGAGTTTGCTGGAGTCAAGGGCTGGAGTGTACTGGAGTGCCTCGACGGGACAGACGCAAGTCCAACATCGAGAGCAGCGCTTCCGGTGGAGTCGACCTGAAAGGCCTTTAAGTCTCATAATACTGGACGGTACGATCAACCGTCCACTCTTATAATACTGCTATTGTGGGAAGGCCAGGTGCAGAAATTTGTGGCAAGTGGATCACAGTCACTTTCTAGGGTAAGCGTGCAGGAACATCGGAGATATATGAAGTGAAGGTTCGTCCAACTAATATTCCCATACGATACAATTACAGAGTTTGGAGACTAAAAGCAAATGCACGTTCATCATCATGATTATAGCTGTTGTGACTCTATGGAGGGACCGCCCCCTTAGAGAGGAAGACTCGTAATAAAGAAAGCATGGACATCCTGAAGAATTATATGCAGCTGAAGACATCCCTTGATTCCTGGGCCAATCCCAGTGCGGGCACCGGTAGCCCATCCATTGCCAGCATCTCAGTATCCCAAGTTCCCCAGTGGTCCGTAGTAAGTTGTACCGTTATATTCCGCCGGTAAAAGGGCAGAAATTTAGAGGCCATGGAGGGCGGCTTGATGACGACTTGAATGTGATACTGTAAATTTCAGCTAAACCATGTGACGGGCTACAATACATCCTGGATAACTCACAGAAGCACTGACGACCTTTGATACCTCCCAGGACGACTCCGCGCCGCAAGCCCCAGCCTTCAGTCTGTAATGCAATTGGCTCACCCCTTCCCGTGCTTCGTCGACATGGCAAAGACATGCTTTGGAGATGCTCATATCTCGGACACTGACATACTGTCCGAGGCTCGACATCCTATTGCTTCCACCTTTGAGCCATACCGTTGTCTTCTTAATCAGCTGTATGTCGATGTTGGGTATCAGTAATTTATTGTGCATAGGTGCATGGTGGCATGTTATCGTCAAAAGGATCGGAATCCCCTCGCCCGCCGTAAAGCACATAGGTGAAGGCAGGGCTACCTTCACGTCTCGGTGAGTGAAGTTATACTTATAGCAGTACATCTTTACTTACAGTCACTGACGGTAATACCTCTTCTTGTACCGTTGCACGACGACAGGCCCAGGAAGGCGACACTTTGAACGCCTGCACCCGCTCTTGATCAATTCCACTGAGGACCATATTGAACGGACTAGGAATCTCCGTAACGGGGGGCATGCTAGGCCTCGTCTTGGGAAGATATGAAATGGGGATCTTAAGCCTGGATAACCGCCGGTGCTCAGTACAGTGATAATCCCATCGAGCGGTGAGTTCCTTACGTCTTATGCAACCTTAACCCCTTGCGGGTAACCCTAATACTGAGCGTATATGTCACGTCGCAGGAAACGCCGGGATGTGAAAAGTGACATGTGGGGGGTAACTTGATTGTGCCACCATCTACATACGGCGGGATAGGGATGGAGAACGCGAGCTCGCGGCCGTACGGTGACCCCGAGTGCGTGCATGAGGAGAAGAGCATGACTTGTTCTGAGAGGATGCAGGTATCGATGGCGCCTGTCACGACGCCCCTCTCCATCGCGCTGATTTTTATCTTTCCTTTCAACTGCAGTGCAGAAATACGAGCCGGGTTCAGCTTGAAACTCAGTCACTATGGATGAACTAAGAAGCTCGAACCGTAGCAGTCACTTGCGTCGTGTAAGTGAGCTTTGACTTCACTCGGACCGTCCCTTCTACGACACCGTTGAAACCATATGCAGGTCTGCTCAGCCGCCACCGCGACCGGTCGAGCCGAACATGGAAGAGGTCGCACTCGTACTGGAAGTCGTCGTTCAGGGAGTTATTTCCATCTTGAAGTGAAGCATGCAAACGCGCTTCGACGTGTCCCGACGCCGACTGGGATGTCTCAGCATAAGGTGGGGCAGCCGGGAGGTACGTTGACTCCGAGTAAGCTGGGAGAGGCACTGGGTCCATTGTCACTGGCAGTGGAATCCCGTCCAGGTCGAACCATCCCTCGGTATTGTCTCTAGTCCTTTAGTAGGAGCCGGTTTGAGTCATCGGTAAGTAATGAGGTACATTCAGGGTTGGTTCTAGGTGACTTGATGCCTTCGGCATCAGTAGATAGCATACATTATCTCATTGTCGGGAGCCCGCTCCCTCTAATTGCCAATTGCATGGGCGCCTCCGAGCAAGGCTAAACCCAACTCTAACTGTATCGTGCGATGGACGGATGGAATGAGTACGAGGGGGCGGCTGCAACAAGAGCGTCACTACATAAAGTCATCTTGTAACAATGTGGCGTGCTCTGATATCCACAGGCAAGTCCAGCTTACCCGGCACCAGCAATCCATTAACGGAGATGAGACACAGTTTCGAAACTGCAAGAGATTTGTACCTTGGTTTGCTGGTGAATAGGAGGGCTGACTAGCGTTGGAACGTTAACGCGTTAACCCTTGGAGGATCCGAAAGAGCTCCTCAAGTTCAACGGACAAACGTCGGAATCCCACGTGCGCGGTTGATCGGACTCGTCGGCCGCTCTGCTGTGCCTGAATGTTACCCTTCCCCGCATCCCCGCATTCGAGTTCACTGCTCGAGGACAAGTGGCTTATCTGCCATGAAAGCGACTAAGATATTGCTCAATGCGGCCCTTCGAAGCCCAGAGCTCCGCTCAAAGAGCATCAGCTTTATTGGGCTGGGTCGGATGGGCTCGGAGATGGCGTACAACTTGTTCTCGAAACGATTCGCGGAGGCCACTGACTCGCACTTCGTCGTTTGCGACGCTGTCGAGGAGGCGACGAAATCATTCCAGGACAATTTTCTCGGACAGTTTCCCGGTGCGAAACTAGACGTTGTAAAGACCCCCCAAGAGTACGTATCCCAGCCCCTAAGTGCAGACACGGAACATGAGACATTCGCGCATTGCAGGGCCGTGTTATCGTCCGAAACGATCATTACCATGCTTCCATCAACACCTCAGGTTAACACCGTGTACCGACAGCTTACTGGGATAATACCTACTCTGCGATCTTTCCCATCCGCTGGATTCACCTTGTTAATTGATTCGACGACCCTGGATGTACAGGTGGCCAGAAGCATAGCGGCAGAGGTCATCGACACCGGTGCCGACATGGTGGATGCGCCCGTATCCGGTGGTATGTGCTCGTTACTGACACTCGGCCTTATGATGTCCCTTTACTTACCAGGTACGATGAGGCGTCCTGGGAGCGAAGGCAGGTACCCTCTCCTTCCTAGTTGGAGGCATGTCCACCGCGTTCGAACGTGCTCGGCCACTGCTTGAGCTCATGGGAAAGCGAATCTTCCATTGCGGAGGCTCTGGAGCGGGCCTAGGTGCAAAGATATGCAACAACCTTGTTCTCGGAGTAGAACAAATTGTCGTAGCGGAGGCCATGCTACTCGGACAGAAGTTGGGCCTTGATCCCGCTGTCCTTGCCTCGGTCATTAACAGTTCAACGGGAGCATGTTGGTCGTCTTCCATAAACAACCCAGTACCAGGCGCTCTACCTGATAAATCTCCGCCATGCGAGAGAGATTTCGAAGGTGGTTTTGCGACTGCTCTTATGTTGAAGGTATGTCTGTCTCGCATCGTCCAGACCCGAATCAATAACCTTATGACTCGGAACAGGACATGGGTCTGGCTACGAATATAGCTAGGAATACTGGGGCACCTCTACCACTAGGGGAAGCTGCAGAGAAACTGTATGCTCACGTCCTGGTGGAGGACCCGCAGCTGATAAGAAAGGATTTCTCCTCTGTATACCGCTACCTATCGCAATGCGCTCAAGAGGGCAAGAGAGTACGGATCGAGGAGATTGCATCTGCCGAGGAAAAATCATAAAGTACGTTACAAAGGATATCACGTACATATAACCGTGTGCTGCATTACGCCACTATGGTTGAGTCTAGCCTTTGAGCGCCATCACGGACAGCTCACGGCTATGACGTGCTCTAAAGCCATCTATCTTCCGAACCTGACACTTCCCAGAAGTCCACATCTTGGCTCAGTTTAGAGAGACGCAAGGTCGGAATGTATTGGAGGGCGAGATTAATGAATGCATCTCGAAAAGCAATGCAGTCGGGCAACAACGTGGATTCACATTTTGATGCTATGGCGAGGGTTGTGCCCATGCAGCTCCTGGGATGCGAATAGAAACACTCACTGTAGCGGAACAGATGCGGGTACTTCCTCTGGAACTTGCTATTATTGATTCTAATACAGTTACAGTGGTCAAGGGACGCCTGGTACGGAGTAGTCATCACTCACGTTGTCTCGTACTCACTAAACTTATTGCATATGAATAACATGTTGGGTAGTTTCCCTATTGTCCAATTTTGGCCGAGGATGGCCTCGTAGAGTTGCACGTCGCAGTGAGGCATAAATACAAGCGTCTGCGAGTCCATCTCGTATCTTCCGTTCTGTACCAGTTTCAGAGAATGGAAATGCGGGAAGGGGGCAGAAGCATTTACCAAATTTTCTGTTAGACATTGGATTTCCAGTCCCTTGAGCAGTGTTATATCCTGGTCAGTCAATACGGGATCGTATAAACTGATGCTAGATTGTGGCTGCCAAAAGAGATTGCTTAGCGGCAGCAGTTCGTTGGCGTCATCTTTGATAACTTACTACGTTCAGCTCGTCGCATAAACCCAACAAAAGGGCCAGCTGTGCTGCTGCATTCTCCGAAGCAGTAGGACTACCAAGCCCGAGGCATAGAACGGGTATTGACCCTTCCCATCCTAACTCCGACAGGGAATCCCTCACAAGATCTAGAGCTGCCAGTTGTCATCGCCGGCGTACTCATCAGGGAATATGACGAACGTTTACATTCATGTAACCATTGTCCATCCTTCAGCTCTCGAAGGCAACGTTGTAAGAGACGGCCCGGTGCTTGAGGCGCTCGAGTATTCTTACCCTTGCGCTTTCGACGAGGAGACTCTACGTATCGGAAAGCATTATTTTCGTTTCCGGCGCTCATTGCGACGGGCCCGGCCTGTCAGCAGTCAGTACTACTGCCACTACAATTGCCACACTGGCAGACTTCACAGTGTGACCCACACAAACTGAGGCTTCTCAAGCACCGAGGAGATGGCGTGGATGTGCCCGAGTACGCCGAGATGATAACACCGGAAACGCGAGGATAAAGGCAATCGCCTTGATTGACGCAGGAACCGCTCTGTGATTACAAGTCGAAGCCAGAGTAGGAAGCACCTTACTATAAGGGCGCCGAAGGTTAATTATAAGAAAGCATGTTTCGGCAGCTTCTCAACGCAAATCGCGACGATCCTCTATGAGTGCCACCGTCAAGCTCACCCTTGCCAGTTTGTAAAAAATGCAAGAAATGCGAGTCCTCGGAATAAAATGCAAATGGGGTTCGGGCTGTCCGAGGTACCGATGTCCGAAGACTTGCCCGCTTGGAAACAAAGTTCATTCTGCGGCATCTTCCTAGAGAGGAAGGCATGCGCATTGATGGGGCTGCAGTCGAGGCGACCGCTGCACTTTCGCTGCCAACGCACCCCCCGCGACGCCATATACCACGACTCTTACACGATTTTCCACTGACGACCCTCGATTTTCTCCTCCTTTCGTTCGCGTTCTTTATCTCGTTTCTTGTGGGCTGTCGCCAAGCAGCTCAAACTAATCAACTGAACCGCCCTATATCTGCAATCTCGCCTCAGCTCGATCGTTTTTTCCAACTCGCTGTCAGCCCGAATTTATCCAGCCCCGATCGAACCAACTCCTCTCTGTCCTGATGACCGACAAACCAAGTGCGATTATCCTCGGTTCGTGTCACCGCGATCAGTGATATGTTGGCTTGTTATGTTTAAGACAGTGGACCTCACACGTGGTTTTGCCGTTTGATTTGATTTCAGGAGGACTCAACACCTGCTCCCGAGCACTCGCGGCGTATTTGGTCCCGCTGGAGGGAGAACCTCTCGTATCTGTCCGTAATGGCACCGTGGACGACAGACCTTGCCTTTCTGACGGTTGCTATTGATACAACAGCACCTCCGTATCGTGGATAAATACTCTGTCCACCCACCTACGACGTACGCATTTTGAGAGCTTGTTATTTCATTAATCCTAACCCTACGCGCCGTTCTGAAGTTATCTCGGACCGGAATTCCCCAAAGTCCTTGAGAAGGCCAATGTCGAATATCGTCAAGCCAACCTAACCCTACCAGGCAAGGAGTTCACTTCCGGAAGCAGTTTGCATATTCTGAGCTGAACTCGTATTTAATAGAGATCGTAGCCCATGCGTTCGATCCTCCGGAGGGTCAGGCACCGTACACCTACGTCTTTGACGTGACAGGTGAACCGCGTCATGACCGGCCCGATCAGGTATTTACCTGTCGATCATCTGCACCGCGGCAGCTGTCAATTCAGTTTTACTGCGCTGTAGGTCCAAGTTACGCACACCTTCCAGATCGCGAGATTGGTGGCGAATGAGGCTGCCCGTCGAAAGGTGAAGGCGTATGTTCGCCTTACTCACGTGTTCTATATCTGCCCAGAGAAGAGCTCGCATACCGAGAAGGAGGATTTGAAACCCGACGGTGTTCGTGGAATCTGGTGGCATGAAGGACTACGCGCCATTGCTGGTATTGACGAGTATGACAGTCCGGGATCTTCTTCAGATGAAGGTATAACTAATGTTTCCTTGCAGCCTACCTGTCGTCATCTTGCGTCTTGCCTTGGTGTACGGCCCATATATCAATTTCGGTTATAGTAAGCCTCTCACTCCGTGACCGCTGGATAAGGCCGCTGACCGGAGTAGTCCCAACGTTCATCACTGCTGCTGCGGTGTATGGCTATATGAAGCAGCCTCTCAAAGCACTGTAAGTCTCCGGTCATGATTACTCCTTAATATGATCTCTATAACGTACATACCATCGCAGTCATTCTCCCGGAACTTATCCAGTTCATACTGTCCACATCGACGACGTCGTGGCTGCGGCTTGGGCGTCCGCGGAGTGGATAGCAAAGCTGGGACGACAGGAGGCCAACACGATAGCCGGCGAGGAATTGTCGTTCCATAACGACAAGAGCGCGTTAAAGGAAGTCGAAGGAATCGTGCCGCCCGAGCGCAAGGTCGTGGCGCCTTTGTTCAATATTGTGAGGATGCTAGTGGCAGCTGCCGGAACATGTGTCTGAGATTTCGTAGGCCGATGATCACGACACAAGTTTTGTCGGGGGTCTGCGCACTATGTGCGCGCTATTTGGTACAACCGTGGAATTCCACGGGAAGTTGACTGACGTGCTTGCCAAGGTGCGTTATGTTCGTCTGGCTTACCGTCTGCTTCTGACCCTTCATGCAGTTCAAGCTGGAGGACGTCGTAGAGGACATAAATGAAGAGCACGTCAGCGGCTGGACCAAGATGCTCGAGGCCTCGAATCCTCCTATCCAGAGCACGCCCCTGACGCCCTACGTGGACGAGAACGCACTGGCGAAGAGGGTCGTCGCTTTGGATAACAAGAAGATCAAGAACGTGTTGGGTCTGAAGTTGAAGCGCCCCCACTTTAATGAAGAGTCAATCGGCGAAGTGGTGGATAAATGGAAGGCGGAAAAGGTGTGGCCTGCTGTCTAGTTCACGACTCGCTGCACCTCGACGTCTTTGGTTATGACTTTATCTTCTATTTGTTCTGGTTAAATGTACTGGTAGGCCCTCTATCGCGGCGTTGACATATCTGGCATGCGTAGGATGCTGGAAGGATATTTCGACTGTATATTAGGTTATATATCCATGCTTGGCGCTTCTTGATGGGACCGTACAATGAACAGCACAGGAATTTACTCGGGCCTATTCCTGAGCGTACCGCCGGGATGTAAGAGGATGACGTGTGTCGAGATGGATCGCAGACCGTGTGCCTCGGTGTACGGTCGATCGCGATCTCCTGCTGTAACAGTTGCTTCCCGACCGGTACGCATTTACGATTTATCACGAGGGCAACCTTGAAGGTGGTAATCAGCGGTCTTGCAGCCATGCTGGATGTGCGTCGTCCACCGCGCTGTGCGGCGGGCAGTAGTAGCCGCTGTTTCGTCTTTACTGCGGTATCACGGATGTCTGAGTCGGAGCTAACTGCAGAAGTTCTGTATGGTCCTACGGAGGGGTCGCGGGCCCTGCCCTCGAGAGGAACGTCGGTGTGGCTGAGAAGTCGCGAAGCTCGGTTCGGAAGCACAGGGCGGGGTGGCCCGATAGAGTTCGTCGGATCTCACGATGAGATCGAGCGTGTGCGATCGGCTCCAGTCATCCTGGCGTGCGTCCGAGCCGCGGCCTGCCTGTCGCCTGAACCAGCTCGCGTCCTCGTTTCAGCCAGACACGCCAAACCTTGGCTGAGGCCGTTGCTACAGCGAGCGCCGGTGCCACAGCTGCATTTCGCCGCCGTTTTTTCCTAAAATTTCCAGTCAGTCTCGAGCGACGTGCTTGATAACGACGCCGTACTTACTGCTCGGCAGCTGAGCGGGTCAGCAGCCACCGCCCGACGCTAGCACACCGCGCTTTCATATCAGAACTCTGCCCAGATTAACCTGGATTAGCTCGATTTCGCCTGGCTTGTCCCTTTAAGACCGACTGCTTCCACGCAGAACGTCGCCTGTTAGCGCGATCTCCGTCGCTTTTGAACTGTTTCCTGTTCTCTTCTGCAAGAGTCACCAATGGCCTCCTCCAAGCCTGCCGCGATCATCCTTGGTCAGTCATTTTGTCTATTCAATTCAGTCGCTCCAACCGAACCGCTCTCTGAATAGGGGGCGTCAACACTTTCTCCCGCGCCCTTGCTCAATATCTCGTTCCCCTGGAGGGCGAGCCCCTCGTTTCCGTGAGTTCACTTTTGCTTCCGTATGCTCACGCGCTGACGCGCCGTGAATCCAGCATCTGCGTATCGTTGACAAGTATTCCGTCGCCCCGCCCACCGTGTGCGTCTACCACGCTCCCATCCTTGGCTTGTCTTGACCCCTTCTACCAGCTATCTAGGCTCGGAGTTCCCCAAGGTCCTGGAGAAGCCAGAAGTAGAGTATCGTCAGGCAAACTTGACCGTTCCTTGTGAGTACAAACGTGGTCTTCAGTCGCCCGCCCCGTCTTATAGTTATCCCACAGCCATTGTCGGGAGCGTTTTCGACCAGCCAGATGGAAAGGAACCCTACTCTTACGTTTTCGACCTCACTGGCGAGGCGCGTAATGACCGACCGGAGGAGGTACGCTCTCTCCCACCTGTGGTTACTCCTTCCCCTTAACCCTTGCCAGGTTCAAATCGCAAACACCTTCAATGTATCCCGGAACGTAGCCCTCGAAGCTGAAAGGCGCAAAGTCAAGGCTTACGTCCGCGTCCATCTGCCCTACTACAACACACCCGACAAGGGCGAGCAGAGTGAAAAGGAGGACGTCAAGCCGATCGTGCCCGGTGGCGTCTGGTGGCACGAGACGCTACGTGCCCTCGCCGCTATTGAAGAGTGCGTCGCTTCCGCTGCCTGCACTTTGCAAACATATTTAATCATCATTTCAGCCTCAACCTTGTGGTCCTGCGGACAGGATACGTCTATGGTCCCTACGTCGATTATGGGTTGTGTATGTGGACTATTTATCGCGTATCCCCTCTCGCTGAACCCGACTTTGCCAGTCACTTCTGCCATGTGCATAACGGCGTGCTACGGATACACGAAGCAGCCTCTGAAAGTCATGTACGTAATACCCCCCCCCCTCACGCGCCCTTTGTGCTCAATTACTTCACTGCAGGCATTCTCCGGGAAAGCACGCGTTCAACACCGTGCACGTTGACGACGTCGCCGGCGCGGCATGGGCATGTGCAGAGTGGATGGCGAAGCTCGGCCGGAAAGAAGCCGACGCGGTGGCTGGGGAGCCTATCGCGTTCCACAACGACAAGAGCAAGGTGAAGGCGCTCGAGGGCGCTGCTTTGCCCGAGGCAAAACTCGTTGCACCTGTGTTCAATGTGGTACGTGTCCATGCCGTCCTGGTCCTTGCTATGCCTCTGACATTTTAGTAGGTGGACGACAGTAACCATACCTTTATCTCGTTTCTCAATGTGCCGGCCTCGTTTTTCGGCACTTCTGTCGAGTTCTTCGATCTCTTCACCCGCGCGATGGCGAAAGTGAGTCACACTCTCCCCGTGCACCGACATGATACACCACGGGCTCTGAATACTGACACGCGACCCCCCCAGATCAACATGGATGAGCTCGCAGAAGACATCAACGAAGAGCACGTCGGCACGTGGACGAAGATGATCACGACCTCCAAGCCGCCCGTGCCCAATACCCCTCTCTCACCTTACGTCCACCCGCAGGTCGTGGGCCTCTTCGAGAAGCACAGTATCGGCCTGGACAACAGCAAGCTCAAAAAGATCGTGGGCTACCAGCTTAAGCGGCCGACCTACAGCCACGCGGAGCTGAAGGAGGTCATCGACAAGTGGAAGGCGGAGCAGAGCTGGCCGACGCTCGAGGATTGAACGACCGTAATGAACGAGCCGTGCAAGTGGAAGTAATATTTTCGGGCTATCCCCCTGTTCGTTTGCTTTTTCGCTCTCTGTTCGATCTCACGGATTTCTCCCGCATTGGAATATGTCGTCTCGCAAGCTATATAATTCACCGCTATTATTAATTCTTATCTAGAGACTACACTAATGTTAGCGCATTCCTTCATCGCGTCGAGTCTCACAATGTATTTAGGACCCGTATGGGCAAACAAAGACTGCAGCACAATGCCATAACTTATGTACAACATTCGCCTTGTTCCTGCCGTTCCGAGAGTAAGTTGTCGAGATTACGACAAATGGAATTCAAATGAGCAAAGGAAAAGGAGCGCGCGCTGACAGACCAAGTGAAGACGATTAATATACAGGAAGTCCGATTTCTCCACGAGTATCTACTTTTCACTCCACACATCGAGAACCACCGCATGCTAACTCATATGTTGGTAGTCTCATGATTCCTCCTGCGACGCGGCACCTTCTGCTGGCACCTGCGGCGGGTCCGGAGGAGGGACCTGCGGCTCAGGCTGAGGAATAACTTCCGCCAAGAAACCTGGCATGAGAGCTTCGATCTTCTCCTGAGTGACGTTCCATAGGGACTTGCGTTCCTCGTCCTCGATCTCCGCTGTCGACGGAGGCACTAGTATGTCCGTCGCATTCATAACCAAGATTACGTTCTTGAGCGACTCGGTTACTGCTTCCACCTGCGCACAGTTTATCATGGAGATCACAGTGAGGTAGTGAGGGTTCCTACCGTCTGATCACTCCCGCTCCCTTTCAAGAGGCGTTCGTGGACATCGAGAGTACTCGTCCATAAGACCTTTACCTCAGCGATCGATCGACCCTCGCGCAGCTCGAACTGCATGAAAGCTTTGAATAGTAACGTGGAGGCACGCAAACGTGTCTCATAGATACCAAGGGGATCTCGGCGGGTCACTTCCGGCTTCAGCAATTCATCCAATAGAGGTATGAGCACTTGTGCGAAGATTTCTTGGACACAAGCTTGATCTTGACCACTTGGTATAATGTGAGGACCTAAGGTGATGCGCTGAAGCTGCGCAATGGCGATTTGACGAATTTCCTTGGACGCATTGGTGGACTGCCGACCCAGAGACATCAGAAGAGGCAAACACAGACGTCGCCATTCTGGTGATGAAGTCAGAAATAGCGAGCAATGGGGAAATTATTTCCACTACCTTGTGTTGTGTCGGCTGCATTCTGGAGGAGCTGCGGTAGCTGCTTGCTCAAGTCCGACAAGAGACCCACAGCCTGTCGACCCCTGTCTATTATAGGGGTACTAGGACATACTTGATCAGTAAATTGAAGCTGTAGGTACAGCCAGGGCAACACACTCACTTTGATGCATTGACGGTTGGAGCGCGGGGATTTCGAGACCCTTGCCTGGGCTGACCCTCAACGAACATGCTAGCTATTGAAGCAAATTCGTCTAGGATTGTCACCAGACCGGAGAAGTTGTCACCCGTAACTACTTGAGTGGCGAGCCGCTGGACCAAGTCAAATGAGCGCCGCGCAGCCTCTGAGTGCGTAGGGGTTTTCCGTAACAGCGCGAAAATGAGATTCCACTCCGTCTGAGATCTAAGCCATTTGTGGTTATCGACACATTGATGACTCGGCAAGAGTCATCGTACCTGGCAATATCTGTGTGCTTTTGTAAAATTATGTCTAAGCCGGTAGCGACTTGCTCCCCGACAGACCCGAGCACGGCAGGCGGTAACCCTGCCAAAAGGTCTATAGACACATAAATCTGGTCCCGTAGAGAAGGCTATAGACATGTTTAACACCATGCTCATCACGGTAAAGATAGACGACAGTACCTTATCGGCTAACAGCAAACATAGGCGCAGCAGTCCCACCACAGCACGTTCAATCAGAAGCACACTATACTGCGAGGCCGCAGACAGTAGCGCTGAGATATGCTCGAACAGGATCGGCCTAAGGAAGGTGTTAGCCACGAAGGTAGGCGGAGAAGTAGCGCCTCGTTACCAAAGTTCTTCGATATGTTGTGGTGTCTGAGATGCGATGCTGACCATGGTCTCTAGGAGGAAAACGGAGGCGGGATCATACGGGAGGGTGTCAGGTCCTCGCGATGATCCGGCATGGTCTGGAGAAGAGGGTACGTCCTCAAACTCTTGTTTGAGCCTGGCCACAGTCCGCTCATGCGCAAGTGCTTCCAGAGCACGGACAGCAGCAGTGAGAGGTTCCAAATCAAGGTGTCTACGGCACATTAGAGGATACTTGATCGCCTGGATTGCCACTTACGTTATCTGGCCGTACAGCTCATCCAGTCGGCACGCAGTAATGCAATCGATGGTGCAAAGTGTGTTTTCTATATCCTCGTCCGTGGCGTCAGGAATCTCCGAGTCCGCGTTTGACCCATATGGCGTCATCAGGTAGGACGACAGCGCAGAAAGCAAACCGCCTTCACTACGAGGAGCCGGCCGAGGAGACTGTTTCCCATGTAGAGGAATCATGGATACACCGCCTAGAAAATCCTCCATTTGGAGCATCCGCATCGGCAACAGGGAGTGCAAAAAGAGGTTCAGGAACATTTCGAAAATCTGAGGCATAAATTAGCAGGTTTCGACAAAGTGAACTGCGTAAGTCTGCTGACCTGAGTCCAACCTTCACGCAATGCGTTACCATTTCCGTTGACAATGTTAAACAAAACCACGGCCGCTAATTGCCCCTTGAGGTTGGTGCCGAACTTGACCGACAGCGAAGACACGGTGACAGGCTGACCATCTACATCTACTGTCGGGTAATTGGGAACCTGTATAGGAAGAGAATCGGACAGTAGACTTGTAGCTTGTGAGAGTGACACTACAATGTAGTCGAACACATCTGGAAGATGGAAGTGTCCAGCTAGTGTGGCGCACTGCCTGAAGCCAGATATGGCTCGTTCCATGACATAGTCATTCTCGAAATTGATGAAGGCGTAGGCAATAGCTGATACAGTGGACCTCCATGAAGATTTGAACATTTCCACATCGAAGTCCGCGGCGTTGCAGATGAGGAAGTCACCTGCGGGTTATGAGCAGAGGAAAGAGCAAAGTTGTTGGTGATGAATACCGGATTGTCGCGATCGCATAAGAAGCTCCTTCCAGGCATACTCAAAGCCCAGTTGGCCTGTATGCTCTTCTGGCATCACTATCTCTTGTTTCCGGATTGACTCGTATATGTTACGCTGCGGCAGCTCAACATTCGTTACAAAACCAGGATGTTGAGAGCTTACTATAAATTCGGGGGAGAAGTCTGTGCCGTCATTCACGCCTCGTAGATTCCGAGTGTAGTCTTCGAACGTCATCCTTTTCTGGTCTCTTAAATTCTACAATCCCAGTGACACAAGCATGTGCTCCACTTACCCGTACTTGCGGATTGTGCAGGTCAGTATTGAGCATAATAATCGAAAACGCCAGCACGTATACAGCGTCCTGGCTCTTGATCTCCGCTACAAAAGCCCAAAATTGGCAACGAGCTAGAGCAGTGTTATTTGAACAGAAAATACACACCAGGTTTAGATGCGAAATAGATCTGTGCGAAGGTCTCGGTTATGCGATCAATTTGCTGTGATTCACCCGGTAACCGGAAGGTCTCCAGGAGTTCCCTCATAGCATCCACAATAGGTTTCTGACGGAGGGCCTGTCAGTAAATAACAACACGCGGCGATAGCCAAAAAGCTCACGTCCTTGAAGTCGAACAGACTGATAAATGCTTTGAGGACGTCGATATTCTCCGGTCTTGAGATGAAGTCGCCGAGTAGGCGTTTGTCAAGCCGTGTACAGCTCTTGAGAAACTTGGCCAGACTTTCCGCTTTCGTCGTTGTAGGAGAGAGGTCGGCGTAGATCAGACCGTTCTCCTCCAGAAACGCGATACCTGTCTTCGGTTTCGTGTTGAAGCGAGCTGCTCCTGTCATCACCAACTTTTTGCGCGACTTGTTCTGCATCAGCTCATCACGCGCAATGAATGTCTATGAGTGACCAGCACGGATGAATTAATCTTCTATAAAGCCGGGGATACGCTTAACCTACCGGTGGCCATGATTCACTCAACTAAAGGTAAGGTCAACCGCAGGTTCATGCTTTCAACAGATCGGTGGACTTACACCTTGAGCGCGGTTTGCCATATGGTTCACGAAAGCCAGGAGAAGATCGAGACAGAGATACTGAGAGTTCTGTTGGGGCGCTTCGAATGCGCCCTGGATGTACCACACATAAACGCCCTACAAATATCATCCATGGCGCTGTGCAGTCGAACCCAATATTACTGCAACTTTACCTTCGTGAGGAAATCTACCAATCGTTCATACATATCTTCGCAATTCAGATCACAATCGTAGTTAGTGTAGAGATCCACCGCGAAGCTCGCATGACGTGCGATCTGGCACAGTATCTCAAGCATGAGTTCACGAGTCTCGCCTCGCGCGGGGTTTACCGGGGGCCTAGGCGGCATAGGGCTACTTTTCTCCGGCTCACCCTCCGAGCCTACGGGTCCCAAATGAGGGGACAGTAGACCAGGCGTGCCAGGGTGCGGCGACCCTCTCTTGCTGCCAGGATCAAGTGCGCTTGCAGACTTAGTCGCGACCGGGGGAGCCAGCCGATCCATCACGAAAGCCAGGAACAGTTCCTGCTGGAGCTTCAGCTTTCCCCGCATTGTGTTAAACATTGTCGCGATTGTCCGGAGGGAAAGATGTAGCACGGAGGGATTGTCGGAGCGAGCCAATTGGAAAAGATACTTGCATCCGTCGTTCAGAATCAGAGCAGATAGGGAGGGGAAGTCGCATATGCGGGGTCCTGAGATCTCCAGAGCGACGTTCAAGATTCCAAGAGCGGTTAAACGAGTGGAATCCGTGTGTAATCTATCGTTCGGGTCCAGAATATTAATGAGTACGCGAAGTAATTCCAGGATGGATGGAAGGCCATCTATCGCAATTATCAGAATACTGTCGGGATAGCTCTAAGGCGTCATGTCACGCACAGGTAGTTGCTTCGGTGCTGTTGTCGCCGAATGGCACAGTATTGATAGCCGTGTCTGACGCGTTTGCACTGGCCACTGATACATTGTCGTCCGCAGGTTTCAGCGTCGTGGATACAGACATAGTTAGCTCGTCATCGTCAGTGGCGTGCACTTTCGCCTCTTCCTCTACAGCATTGAGATTGTGCAGTCGTGCAAAGACGACTCGCGTAAGCTGCTGCATCGTAGCTTCAGCAGACCGCCGAAGGGTCTCTAACATTCGCCGATGTCAGTCGCACAATTCCATGTTTGGCCCCGAGCGTACCTACCGCTGAGCCTCATTTGGCAGCACGTCGTCAAGACCGTCTCGAGCATCTCGCATATCTCAACGTCACCGAGTAGAGTATCTGTGTCCCCGCACATGCAGTCCTGGATAACCATCAGAATCTTGAGCAAGACGACTTCATCCCCGGAGGAATCGCTGGCGTCGAATTTACAATGGGCTACCGTGCTGCTCAGCTCGGTAAGCACCTTGTCAATTCCGGGGGAGGATGCAGATACGAGACCGCAGACAAAGAAGTTGTGTAGCGCAGAGAGCGCCGCGGAGGTTATGGGTCCAGTGGAAAGTTGGGATCGAATAATAGCAAAGAATGGCCCCAGTACGGTAGATAAATGGATTGACTCAATGTCTATATTACAGAAGATGCTATCAGCAATACACTGGTCAAAGTAATGACACGAACCATCCACGTCCCTGACTTCGCGCTTCAGCTCTTGGAAGTTGGCCATCAACTCCCTCTCCCTGCTTCCGCGTCCTAAGCCGGTGCTGATCGCAGACGTTGTTGGTATCCGCAGGCCAAGCGTGCTAGCTAACGTCGACTCTCGTGAGTTAAGAGTGTTCGCAGAGGAAGCCCATCGGGAGTTCTTTCGCATAGCAGTAGTTACAGAGAGTATTTCAGCCTCCAAGACATGTTTCTTCGAGATATTCCCGTGACTGGGAGAATAAGAGAAAGAGTGCATAGTCATACTCCGCGACCGGTTTTCAACTACCAGAGCGACCGTCGAAGCAGGATAGGCGCGCTCTAAAGTACGAAGTCGAGCTCAGGTCAAGCTTGTACATATACTGTATTGCATTGGGACGTGTCGTGACGCGGCATTAGGCCGATCAAATATCTTACGTAACAGACACGAAAGCTTCGTGAGATCCTCTGTAAGATCCACTGTCCCACACCGGGACACAGTGTATCGCACCTTTGCGAAGAGCTGGATGGCAGAACAACCCAGAGGAACGGAGTAAGAGCATCGCTAAAATAAGGACGAAGACTGGATATAACAGAGTGAGACATGACTGTTTACTGTTGCCCGGATGGCTGCCCGGCGTCTCCAGCTCGAGAAGACATCGCGGCCTGACCAGCAGCTGTGGCCGCGAGTCTTGACCTTTTCCTTTCGGCCTCTGGAATAATAATTATGTCAATCATGTCCGAAGAAACGACAGTCATCCAGTGGCTTACCCGCTTCCTTCTCCCTCTCGATCTCTTGCACAATTGCCTCGATCTGCGACAGGTCGAGTGCCTTGCCACACGGCAATAAGCGAAGAGGTAGATAAGACGAGCATCGCATATGGCTTACAGTAACCTTCCCATAGCTCTCCATGACACTAATTTCAATGTTTTTGGCACCGGTCTGTACAACCTCCAGCAGACTCTTGATCGTCAGCTTGATCGTCTCATCCCGCGAGAGGTCATCCTTGTGGTTCTTCTCTAGGAATTCCCGGACGGTCTTTGATGAACGGCCAATAGCGTTTGCCTATAGCCGTGTCAGGTGTCAGAAGCAACCTGCGCGGAGGGCATCTCCCATATACCTTCCATGCACTGTAAATACCACTAGGCTCCGTCATGTATAGCCTTGGCCGGGTATCATGGGGGTCGAAACCAACGATCAAGGTGGCAATCCCAAATGGCCGTACACCTCCTGATTGTGTGTATCGCTTGGGTGTGTTTTAGCACAATCTGCCGAGTAGTGAAATCTCCGTCCACGGACCTGCTGAATACCGGCTATGTGCCTCGTGATGTATTCTACGGTGACAGGGTCCTCAACAGTCAGACGGTGGCTCTGGCATTCCATCCGCGCTTTGTCAATCAGAACACGTCCATCGGCGGTCAGACCTACAGATCACACTCGTTAAGCAACAAATGTAGGATTCGTGGCTGGCCAGGACGCACCTGCGAAAGCGAGACAGATATGATCGTCCAGCATAACTACTTTCCGCACGGTACGTGGATCCTGAAGCTGAAGGACAGACTTCTTCTCGACGCCCAGCACCACGACATCCTTTCCGCGAAGGCCAACCTAACAAGGCAGCGGTGTATAGCTGAGGCATTCGAACAGACTAAGGGTCACTCACGGCGCACGTTCCTCTCCGGACAGCTTCGTTGGCGTATTCTACCTATATTCGCGCCATGGTCAGCTCGATCGGACGGTACAGACGCGACCTAAGCTCTGACTTGGAACAAGTGCCCATCGGGCGAGAAGACGGTGAGAGCTACAGGCAAGCCGAATGGTCAGCTTCACGAGTGCTCCCGGCCCATAGCTAAACGTACCGCGGTCATAGGATCTCGACATAGTGTAGTTCAAAGTAGGATGTCCTTCGAGTGAGTGTGCAGAGCCAGACGAGATCCCAATGTGACGCGTCCAGCAGACGCGCGTTCGACAATCGACAGTGGCCATGATGTGCTTAGTAAGCGTCATCATCTCCTCGTTTGGCCACTGAGAACCCTGCGGTTATCGGTGGCAATTGATCTCAGCACGCTGCACCGGCTCTGCCTCACTGGTTTCTAGCAAGACAGTTTCAGTTTTGACATGGCCACGAAGACGAATATAGGAGGATGGCTGCGGGGTACGACAGTACGAAAGGGTGGCTCGAATTCAAATCCGCGTTCTACGGCTGGTACGCCGGTAGTGCAAAGCACTTCCACAACGATATTTGGAGGAGGGGTGAAGGACCCATCAGGTCGCGTCTCGGAATTCTCAGTACGTATATAGAACTGTATTTGTTGAAATGCTACATAACACAAGCACACCAGAGCATGGACGATCAATGTCCAGTATGTAGGTCAGACCGGTATCTCAATCCCAAACTAAGACTGCTCGTTAGCTCGCAATGTTACCACAAAATGTATGTATCACGTTCCTGTACATGGACCTGGATGGTGACTGAGGGGATTCTTCCCAAGGTGTGAGTCGTGTATAGACCGACTGTTTACACTGGGACCGGCACCCTGTCCGATATGCCAGAAAACCTTGAGGAAACTTGCGTTCACGCCACAGACATTCGAGGACCTGCAGGTTGAAAAGGAGGTTGCTATTAGAAGGCGTATTGCTAAAGAGTATGGTTCATTATTATTTGCCCATTGTCTTCCCCATTTAATTCTCCTTGTCTAGATTCAACAAGCGAAGGGAAGATTTCCCAGACCTGCGATCATATAATGACTATCTCGAAGAAGTCGAAGATATCAGTACGTCCCCAAGATATACTCGTTGTGACCCCTCTTATTTATCAAAACTTCCAGCATTTAACTTGATAAACGGCACTGAAATCGAACGTACTGAAGAACGAATCGCCGAGCTGCGGCGCGCCTCCGCACAACTAACTTCAGCCAACGCCGCACGCGAGCTCGAATATGCTGCTTCGCTGCAAGCCGCGGAAGAAGCAGAGAAGCTCGCGCGGCAGCAACGCGCTCTTCAAGCTCAAAAGGAGGAAGAGGAAGAGCGCGAGGAGCGCGAACGCGAGCGGATGAAGGTCATCGAGCTGCTGGAGCGCAGTGAGATGAGCGAGGAGCAGGTCAAGAAGGAGGTCGAGCGGTGGCGGCGCGAGCGGGAGAAGAAGCGCCTCGCGGAACAAAGGAGGCAACAACAAGCCGCAAAGACGCTCCGCAATCGCGCGGCGGCGCAGAGCCAGATGTTGCCCGACACCCCGCATGTGCCGCTGCAGGACGACTACTACGCTTGGCAGGATAAGTACACCATGCTACCGACATACATCGATCCGTCGCATGGTGCCGTCATGCAGGATCGGGAGGGGATTATGAGGGCTGGCGGTTACAGGATTGAGGAAGCGTGGGAGCGCGCCATACGATCCGCTGTTGCAGGCTTGGATGTCATGCCCATTGATGACGAAGAGGATCAGTGGAACGGTACATTAGGGGAAGGGGTCACGGTCGAAGGTGCGGGGAATGTTGTCGCGGCAAGCGCTTGAAACACCAGCGGCCCAGGTCAGCATAAGGTCTCCTCCTACTCACATTGCCTATTTTTTTTTTTTTGCGTCGTTCGCATAGCTTTGTCGTCATTGCACTAGTCGTCGCTGTCACCCAAAAGTACGCCGTATCAGAGTTATGTATATTATGTGATCCATACTACTCAATCATGTACAACCTAGCACTACTTTATATTACTGTTAGGCCAGTATTGTCCAATAATGGACACCTGGCCTCCACTGCACTCGTGATGATTTGTGTGGAACTCGCTTGTCTTGGGTCATAACGGTTGGCAACTCACGATGGCGCGGGGGGGCTATGACGCCGAAGGGACGGCAATAGGCATAGCTGTCGGGCACGGGCGACGGTAAGGCAATCGTACAAAGGGTAGCAAAGTGGTGCTGCGCGGAGCATATGTGGCCGGGACTTCGCACGGGCTGGCCGCACGGTTACAAACAATTCGCGGACAACGGCACTGGCACCGTACCAGTAATTTACTACCGTTGACGGATGACCCCGCCGGCGAGGCCAGACTAGACGAACAACATGGGCGTCAAAGTGGAGCAGACTAATGTCTCCAATCTGTAGCACGCGGTGCAGCAACACATACACATTTACGGGGGTATGAGTAAGGGTCGACGGACTGAGGGTATCTGGTAAGGCATATGACGGAGCACAAGTCCCCTGTGTTGGGAAGAACGGCATAATAATAATAATAGACGCATACTCCTTCAATTCCCGCCTTGAACAGCGCGAATTGATGTATCATCAGCAATTGACTAACCTCAGGATAGAGTAAGCTCATTACCGTCTGTTTGGGCACGGTCGACTTGACGCAGTGGAGTTTGTTGCGTCCCGCCATAACGTGGGGTCGTGAAGAACACCTTGACAACGGGGGAAGGCCATTCATAACTCAACTGCAACAGGTATGCATGGCTACTAGTATAACTTGCATGACGCTTGCCTTCATATCCGATGGGGCCAAGAATCGGAGAAACTTCGATCTGTCCCGAGTCAGGGCCCGGGCATATTACCCGTCGTATGGCCCTCATAAGTCACGACACTGTATACGGCCCATGGGTTGAGTCAGTTGTATGTCATCTCCAACCCATTTACATGAGTCGCAGTGACGAGGACAGCGTCATCTTTTATCTATGCGTGGGACGGACCCCTACGTACCCTATGTACCTTGCAAAAATTGCGGTCGGGGAAGAGGGATTCCGAGACTTGCCTTGCCAGTGACTTCCCCGGGACGAGGTATCTATACCGCAAATTGTTCAGACAGAATTGTGAGAACATAAGAACGGCATCATGATACTAAACCAGAACATATGTGGATGCCCCTAAGCTTAAGGGTGTGTGCAAGTCCCGAGTCAGGCCCTTCGTGAATATCAAGTCGAATTGGCATCGGCAAAAGCCGGTGTTGCAGGTTTGACAGGGAATGCGGCGCCGTTCTCTGCCGGTCATTGTATTTCTACTTCCATGATTCGGTCGCTGTGTAATTCCTCCGTAACGTCTGGAAATCCCGAATTACCACGCTGCATGCAGCTGGAATGTGCTGCTGAAATGGAGAACAGGTTCCATCAGCCGGCATGTACCATATTTTTTGTCACGGGAGAGTAAGTTCTGACGACCACGCATCAGACACCTGTCCACTGGCACAATTCGGACATACGAGTCACGGACTCATATCGAGGGCCGTTAGCCGATGAAATGCCTCCTCTACCTCTCCCGGCGCTCGCGAATATCAGACGACAACATCCAACTTGAGAAGCATCACCCGTTCGGTGCGTGGCAACGCGTACATTTGTACCCGTGGGGTCAGTGATGAGACGTGTTCCTCACGCTGCTCGTGCTCGAATTCTGACCTGAAGTACGCGATCCGGACGAAGATGTGCCTCGCTTGTTCATGCGCATCAACTCCTATTCTTAATCCCGTGATCCTTTCATCATGGGCAATAAACGGCGTTTGCGAGGATAATTGCGGAAGCATGACTTCATCACTAAAAAAAATTCTAACGGTTTTCCATCTCTATTAGACTCTATGCATTCTCGGGGCTGCAATCGTGATATGGTAATGACCTCCCTATGCCCGATTTTTCCCATTAGGACTTTGAATTGCAAACCGTGTATCCCGCCCTCCCGTGGTCCGACACACGAGGGCGGGCTACATGCCTTTGTTATTCCCGGCTCACGCCTACTCCGAAGACTCACTATAGGGGGGTATCTCCCAAGCCTACATTCGACCTTTATTATGCCTATATCGTTTGACGTATGCGCCACCCGGGACGATGATATCGAAGCCCATGCTCGTCCTGCGCCCATCAAACTCCTGCCTATCAATTATATGTCTCGCCTACGATCGGATGCAATACGTCTCTTGGCTACCCTTGGGTCTTTCTGGGCGTGGTCTTCTATCGACTGGAGCTCCACGGTCACTCACACGCATACTCCCTGTTTTCAACATACGAGAACCCCTCGGTGGTGAGGACTCGTCGCGGGACCGACTCAATTCGCTTCCGACTCCACTCTGACATGGCTCTGCAACGGGATGCGCTCAGCTGAACCCTCACGATCAAGGTACCGTCCTCATACCAGTAGGTCACATCGGGCACGCCTCATTATCCAGCCCTAAACACCAGCGACGGGCATGCAAAACCTCGCAAGTGACCGTTCACGAAAACCCATAAAAGCCCCCCTCCCTCTCGCCAGTCCTCATCCCAACAACCCACAACCAAAGCGCTCACAGCACCCATCCCAGCGCTCGAAACAAGTTCGCCGATATGTTCTCCAAGCTCTCCCTCACTGTGACCTCCGCTCTGGCCATCCTTGCTGTCGCCACGCCCACCCCGAACACCGCGCCCGCCGGGCAGTGCACCACCGGCGAACTGCAGTGCTGCCAGAGCGTGCAGGCGGCGACCGACCCGAGCCTCACCAATCTGCTCGGCTCGCTCGGAATCATCGTCGGGGACATCACCGGCCTCGTCGGCCTGAGCTGCTCCTCCATCAATGTTATCGGCGTTGGCAGTGGTAACGAGTGGTAGGTGTAAATGTCCCGATGCTTGTTCACCGCCGCTTATATCGTATTTCAGCACGGCCAACCCCGTCTGCTGCACGGACAACGCTTGGGGTATGTCTGACTGGCTTTTTTGTCCATCCCATGATATTCCAGACTGACTATGTCATTTCAACAGGTGGCCTGATCTCGCTGGGTTGCGCTCCCATTGAGCTCTAAGCATATCATCAAACGTCGAGAAGAAATAAACTAAAGCAGAAATTAGTCAATGAGTCGGCGACGAGAGCTGGAAATGCTCATGTAGTTTGCGAAATGTAACAGTCTGTCACGAGTTCCGTTAGTTGCTGGAGAGCTGCTGCAGAGAATGAAGCATTATCTATTTTATTATGTTTCTTCACCAGACCGACATTCCGAAGGCGGCTTAGCAAGCTTGAGGAAAACGGTATTCGGTCGGAATATCTCGATCAGCAGATTAAGGTTGCAACAAGATTGAGAAGCAGGTTTGGGGCAGTGGCAGCCAATCAGACGCGCTCGTTCTTACTCTCAGACGTCATGCTTAGTTCTTTTAATTTATGCCGAATCATTGTGGTATACTACCATTTATGCGAGTATTAGTACCCCACCAGATTAAGATATCAACCAACCGTCCTTCGTGTGTCAAATGTAACTCGAAATGCGCAAACTATGGATACAATACCTTCCTCATAAAACACCTATGACTACCACCCAAGCAACTATCACCCCACCCCACCCACCTCTACACCTTCGTACTCGTGACCACCTTCCTCCCCTCCCTCTCCCGCTCCCCCAACGGCGCATCGAGCGGGAACCACAAAATCTGGTACTTATCGTGCTTCGCGAGCGCCGACGCGCTCACCGCGTACCGCCCCCTCACATCCTTCCACACCACCTCCTTGGCCACCACCTCCCCGCCTCGTCCTTTGCCCGGGCCCCAGGGCGCCCCGCCCCGCATCCGCCCGTCCCCCTCCCCCTCGTCGCCGCTGCTCGCGATCTCGATGACGCTCCCGCCTCCCACCGACGGCGACGCGGCCCGCGCTACCCCGCTCCCAAGCTCATCGCTGCGCAGCCTCTTCCCGCGCCCCAGGCTCCGCCGGCGCTCCGGCTCCGAGTCGCTCACGACCTCCGGCGCGGGCGACGCGCTCGGGCGCTTCCTCTTCACCGCTTTCCTCGGGCTCTCCGTGCCCTTGCCCTTGTTCCGCAGCGTGGCGATCGGGTGCAGGACGGTCTGCACGAGCTTCTGTCTGCCGGTGTTCTCCTTCTCCTTCTCCTTGCCCTTGCTAGTGCTCGGGGTGGATGCGGAGAAGTACTTCGACGTGGTCGCGTCGGTGGTTTTGGATGGCGGGAGGGGCTTGAACCCCGACGGCCGTGGTGGAGACCACGAGGACACGTCGTTGATCTCGGACACGGAGGGGGAGCGCGTACGGGTGAAGGCGGGGGCGGCGGAAGAAGGCTTCGAAGGGCCCGCGGTGGACGCGGGTTTGGAAGGCTTCGAGGAGGGTTTAGGTTGGTCGGTGTGTAATTCTTGGATCGATGGGGAGCGGCGTGTTGTCCGTGACGGGGGCTTCGACTTGCTTGACGAAGCTGGCTTTTCGAAATCCGGCACCTCGGAGACGGATGGTGACTTTGACGCGTGCCTGCTCATACGCCCATGCTCCGCGATCCCGGCACCGCGGAGAGAACTTGACGGTGACCTATTAATCACATGGCGGGGTTAGCTGTGTATTCCGCGCGCGTAGAATGGAGAGCACTCGCTTGCCGGGGTCGAACATGATAAACTCCACTTCCCCCAGCCCGTTCCCCTTCCTGGGGACCATATACCCCACGATCAGCCGCGAGTGCCCCTCATGCTGCAGAATCAGCGGCATCTTCCCGGTCACCCGTACCTTCCGCCTGTCCCCCTCGACCGATCCCCCGCGGATATGCGCCGACTCCTCCTGCTCCTCATTCCTCTTCTTCCCCAGGAGACTACTCGCGATGCCAGTCTTGCTGGGCGGGTGCGAGTCGGGCCCGTCGAAGTAGCCCGTGACCCAGTTGACGAGGCGCGCGGGGTCCTTGCGCACGCCGGCAAAGTCGGCGAGGTGGCACGGGATGGAGCGCAGGGTGAAGGCGACGTAGATGTCGGCGGTGCCGATCCATTTCTGCGTGCCGACGAGCTGGCGCTTGAGCTGCGTCGCGCCTTCCTTGTCGTACCCTACCTTGTATCGCATGAATATAATGAACATGATATCAGATTCGATTGCGCGACGCACCGAGCTTCCACGCCTCCTCGATCCAGCGCTGGAGATTCCTCACGCCGGGCGGGGTCGGCTCCTCCAACAAGCCCCAATACTCCGTCCTCTCCTCCTGGCTCATGAGCGCGGTGCACGCCATGAGAAAGTTGCGGTACCCGCACCCCCAGCTGCGGTCCCAGCGCTCGGCGACGACGTGCGTGGTGCGCTCGAAGCAGAGGACGGCGTGGGCGAGGGCGGGGTGCGCGGCGAGGGCGCGGGCGAAGACGGGGACGAGGCCGGGGTGGAAGTTGGGCGGGGGCGCGGTGGGGAGGCGCGGGTGCCAGAAGAGGTTCTGGGCGGCGTCTTTGCTGGGGCTGGGGGTGGAGAGCGTGAAGGGTTTGAGTGAGCGGCGGGGGCCGTAGGTGGTGGGTGGCGCTATGCACAGGAAGATGAGCAGGTAGCTCTGTATGGATTGGGACTGCTTACACGGCGCGGTAGAGTCATCGAGGTGGAGGCCGTAGTGTTCTTCGCGCTGGGAGACGCTGAGAGCGTGCAGGTCGCTGCCGCAGAACTGACATAGCAAACCCGACGCAGGCTCAACTTGGCAGATAAACTCGACGTCCGAGTCCTGGCCGCCTTGCATTGCTGGTCCAATTACCGCCCCGAGTATAGACTGTCTCCCGTACAAGCAGCAGTACGCGCAGAGTGGCTCCGGACGTCATGCCAAGGTTAGGGTCACCGTCCATATCAGGCAACCGTGGCGGGTTCAGAAATTTATCTGCCACTGCCGCTGCTCCCAACACTGCAGCCATGGCCCGACGACGCAAGCACCGCACGCACGTCAAGGCCGACAGCGAGCAGCCCGACGGCAGCCCGCGCTCGTTCGTCATCAAGCACGGGCAGGTCGGGCACTCGCTCGCCCAGCTCGTGCGCGACATCCGCAAAGTCATGGAGCCCAACACCGCCAGCCGTCTCAAGGCAAGTCCCCTATCTTCACCGGTGTACCACAACACCTTGCTAAGGTCCACGCGCAAGCTCAGGAGCGCGCGCGCAACAAGCTCAAGGACTTTATCGTCATGGCGCCCGTCCTGCACGTCACGCACCTCCTCGCGTTCACGCTCACCGAGCGCGCCCCGTACATGCGCCTCGTGCGCCTCCCCGCGGGCCCGACGCTCTCCTTCCGCGTCGAGCGCTACAGCCTCATGAAGGACGTCCTCCACGCCGCGCGCCGCCACCGCAGCATCGGGCTCGAGTACCTCACCCCGCCGCTCGTGCGTGCCCTCCCGTTCTCCCCTCGTTCCCTGCTAAGAATATGCGGGTAGCTCGTCCTAGCGTCGTTCCCCCCGCCCTCGCCGGCGACCCCGCCGCACCTCCCGCTCCTCATGAAGTCCTTCCAATCACTCTTCCCCCCGCTCTCGCCGACCTCCCTCTCCCTCTCCAACGCGCGCCGCGTCGTGCTCGTCGCGTACAACCCCGAGCGCGGCACGCTCGACTTCCGGCACTACCTCATCACCGTCAAGCCGTACGGCGTCTCCAAGCGCGTCCGGCGCGTCCTCGAGGGCGCTGCCGCCTCTTCCAAGTCCAAGTCGTCGTTCCTGGACTTGGGCAACGAGAAGGACGTCGCGGACTTTTTGCTGCGGAAGAGAGGGGAGGGCGGGGGCGGGCGCGATGGGTACGAGAGCGCGGCGAGCTCGGCGAGCTCGGCGGCGGGCGACGACGGCGACGCGGTGTCGCTCGCGGACGACTATGTCGGGCGGAATAACAAGAAGGGGTCGAAGCGCGCCGTGCGCCTCGACGAGATCGGGCCGCGGATGGAGCTGAGGCTGATCAAGATCTCGGAGGGGCTCCCCGGGAAGGAGGGCGGGGTGATATATCACGAGTTTGGTGAGTACCTTTGCTTCGACGTGGAAGGGGCGGAAGGGTAATCTGTTTTTGTCATTGTAGTTAAAAAGACGAAGGCGGAGGCGGCGGCGCTGAAGGCTGCGCATGCGGAGAAGGAGAAGCTGCGCAGGCAGCGACGCGAGGAGCAGGAGCGCAACGTGCAGAGGAAGAAGCAGGAGAAGGGCAAGGGCAAGGATGCTGCTGATGAAAGCGAAGCAGAGGAGGGAGAAGGGGAAGGAGAGGAGTGCGAGAGCGATGAGGGCGGGCACGACGAGGGCGGGTGGGACGACGATGAGGTGATTAGCGAGGGGGAGAGCGGGGATGAGAATTCGGGTGCGGAGGAGAGCGGGAGCGAGAGCGAGGAAGAGCAGGAGCGGCCTCCGCCAAAGAAGGCCAAGTTCAAGCAGAAGCGATAGTCTGGCTGTTGTTTTCCTCTATCCGTCTCTTACCGGTCTCCTTGCGTGAGCGGGCGAGAGGAATGTATTACTGGAAGCATACATAAATATAGGGGATCTACGTGTAGCAATCACTTCTGCGACGGCGGTACAGTCGCCGCACTGCTCTGCTCCTGCCCGAACCACCTCTGGCAGAAATTTTGCATGCGCATGCGGACGCCCTCCCAGTTATCGAGCGCGGGGCGGACGTCGAGGTAGAACGAGGGCGTGTTCGACGGGCCCTGGCTCTTGCCGGTGTAAAAGTCGATCACGTAGCGCACGCGCGTGCCGCAGCGGTCGACGATCCAGTCGTGGCGGTCAAACGGCCGTGCGTACCTGACAATACCCTGTTCAATCTCACGTCCGTTCAACTTGGATCAGAACACACCCTATGAGCGACCGCCAGCGCGCGCGCGGCGTGAGATCCCCGGGGCGGCCCTTGAAGCTCACGAGCTTGACGCCGCCGCAGCGCTCGCCGCCCTGCGCCCGCTCCCAGCGGAGGACCTCGGCCCACGCGCGCTCGTTGACGGCGTTGTGGATGGGCACGATGACGCGCATGTCGCGCGCGGCGGGGTCGTGCTGCTTGCGCGCCATGGCGGCGAAGAACTGGGCTTCGGAGGGGTAGACCCAGCGCTCGCCGTCGGGGCGCGGGATGGAGGAGATTTCGCGGTCTTGTGAGAGGGCGGCGGGGGCGGGGGCGCTAGGAGAGGACGAGGAGGAGAGCGAGGGGAGGAAGGCGCGCCAGGAGGCGGCGGGCGAGGTGTGGTCGACGGGGCATTTGTCGGACGAGGCTTGGGACAGCGCGCTGTGGTCGACGGGGCACTTGGAGTCGGCCATGGTCATTGGTGGACTGCAGTCTGCAGAGGAGGATTGACGGGAGCCGGCCACTTGCTTGGTCGCCGGGTGATCACTCGATCGTGGCAAGCTGATTGGCTCCCCGCTTGCCTGATGGTGTCCGACTCATACGGCGGCTCCGGCTACGCACTTCCAGTAGCTGTGAGTCTTCTTTCTGGACTACACCCCCATGTCGCCCCCTTCTGTCGGGGAATACCTCTCCAAGCGCGATGCATTCATCAACGATGAACGCTCTCTCCGACGAGAGCACGCCCGTCTGAATGCCCTCTCCGACGCAGAGGCGCAAGCAGACACAGTGGTTCGCCAGATACGCGCAGACGAGGCCAAGACGATTTGGACCGACGACAACGAGAATATGCCCCATGTATTCCCCGGCATGGAGTTCTTGACCTGTGCGTCCTGAGCGTGCTCTCATAGATTAGTGCTCGAATACGTTTCGTCCCTAGCAAGGGACCTCATTGTCAAGACCAAACTATTCAACATCCTCGCAAAAGTAAGTATCCTGGTACACCACTACTGTGTCTGACACACACGCCCCCAAAGATGCCCAAAGGCGCCCTCCTGCACGCCCACCTCGACGCCATGGTCAACGTCCGCACCCTCCTCCGCCTCGCCCTCCAGCACCCCGCCTTCCACATCCGCGTCCCCGCCTCCCTCACCGCGGCCTCTCTCAAGACGACCCTCCCCGAAGTGCGCCCTCGGCCCAAGGCCGAGTGGTCCGCGCTATCCTCGCTGCGTGACGCTGCTGCTGGCGAGTGGGTGCCCCTGCAGCAGGCGCGCGCGAACTTTGACCCCGCGCTGGGCGGCCCGGAGGGCTTTGATGACTGGGTCGTCGGCCATCTGACGATCAACCCCGCCGAGGCGTACGGGACGCACAAGACGACGGACAAGGTTGCACTCTCTCACCGGTCCGAATCCGATTCGAGCTAACGCCAGACAGATATGGGAAAAGTTTGCGAACACGTTCCGCGTGGCATCGGTGCGCGGTGGTAAAGCTAGTCGGGGCCGATCGCTGACCTGCGCGCATCCAGGGCCTGATACGCTACGCGCCGATCTGGTACCCCTACATCCGCGAGTTCTTCCGCACCTCCATCGACGACGGCATCTCGTACATCGAGGTCCGCATCAACTTTGGATACAAGTGAGCATTGGCGCGCGCCCGACGCCCGACGTGGTCAATCCTGATTGTACGTACATGCAGGACAATGTTCAACGCGGAGGGCTACGACGTCGTCCCCGCGCGAGAGTGGGTGCGCGACTTTGAGCGCGCGCTCCGGGATACGCAGCAAGAATTAAAAGACCAAGGGCGCCAGGACGTCTTCCACGGAGCCCGGGTGCGTGCCGTCTCACTCACAGCTAGAGAAGTGGAAGTGGAACTGAAACCGCTGATCACGTCGCCTCGAAGATCATATACACGACGATCAGGATGTACACCCCCGACGAGATGGAGTGGTACCTCGACGAGTGCCTCGCGCTCAAACAAGAGTTCCCCGACATCATCGCAGGTGCCCTCTCCCTCTCCCTCTCCCTCCCTCCGTCCCCTCGTATCCCTACTCACCCCACTCACCCCTTCTCCCAGGCTTCGACCTCGTCGGGCACGAAGACTCCCTGCACCCGCTCATCCACTACATCCAGCCCCTGCTGCGCTTCCGCGCGCGCCAGGCGGAGCTCGGGCTCGACATCCCCTTCATCTTCCACGCGGGCGAGACGCTGGGCGACGGCACGCCCGCGGACGTGAACCTGTACGACGCGATCCTGCTCGGGACGAAGCGCATCGGGCATGGGTGAGTCTGAGGTGTCTGGGACGGGCGGGCGGGGGGCCAGGGAAGGCTGAGGCGGATTGACAGGTTCTCGTTGGCGAAGCACCCCAAGTTGATGGAGATATGCAAGGAGAGGGGCATCGCGGTCGAGATGTGTCCCATCTCGTCAGTGCTCTGTCCATGCTTCCAGTCGACCCGAGCTGACGGCGCGCCGAACTTTCTGCAGGAACGAGATCCTGGTACGTCCGAGAAGGCTCGCTGGTACCGATCGCGGCGGCTGATGACGAGCGGGACAGCGTCTGACAAGCTCCATGCCGATGCACCCGCTCCCGATCATCGTCAACCATGGTATACCCGTCGCGCTGTGCTCGGACGACCCCGCTGTATTTGGGAACATGGGGCTATCATACGATTACTTCCAGGTAGAGTCCGCTCGCGATGTTGGGCATCAATGAGGATGACGGTACTCGACATGTCTAGGTACTTGTGGCGAGCGAAGTCACGGGCCTGACCACTCTCGGCCAGATAGCGAGAGACAGCCTAGAGGTCAGCACAACAGTCAGCATCCTGGTTTGGGTTCTGACGGCGCTTTTGACAGTTCTCGACGTTGGATGCCGAGGCTAAGGGGAAGGCGCTCGCCGCGTGGGAGAAGCGCTGGCAGGAGTTCTGCAATGAGGTGGCTGCGCTCGGTAAATGACTGGCGGATGCAACGTCAGTCAGAGCTAACGACTTCAACGTCGGATACCCCGTCGTTCGGCGACTAAGCCGGGAAGACCAGATGCCGCAGAGACGGCCCATGCATGTAGGACGGACTTCAACGTCCTAAACGCTGTACATAGTACATTACAGCCCTCGGCCTCTGGCTCTGCTGCGATGTCCTCTACTGCCCTATCCATCTTGCTCAGATGAGTATCAACCTTCGATCAATCTTCTGCCATTAGTTCCTCCAGCTCTCTCTCCTCTTCCTCGGTCAGACCGGATGGCTTTTCCGCATTGGTAGGCTCCTCCTTCGTGCTCGGCACCGCTTCGGCTTGTACAGGCGCAGGCTTGAGCAGCTCCGACACCCGCCACTTGCGCAACGTCCCGTCCAGACTGGCACTGACGACCCAGGGCTCCACCCTCGTGACCCCGTCCTCACCGACCGTCTTCCGCACCCACAGCCTGAGCGCGGTCACGTCGTGCCAGTGCGCGTCGATCACGTTGAGCAGCTCCGGCTCCTCCGGGGACGATACGTCGTACACGCGAATGACGTCCCCGGCGCCCGTGATGAGGTACGGCTCGGCGAGCTCCGTCAGCCCGAGGTGCAGGATAGCCTTGACGGCGACGGGGTGCGTGATGGGCGGGATCGGCTTCGTCTCCTTTGGGGGCACGACGTGCTGCACCTGCACGGTCTCATCCGAGGAGGCTACAACCGCCCATCAGCAGTGTCTCCTTCGATCTGCATCCGCACTGACCTGTCCACAGCTGATCCGCGCCAAAGACCATGTCGTTCACCCCGGTGCGGTGGTGCTTGAATTCAGTTCTTACGGTCGCGCGCCAACGTATCGGTGTCCCCTCTTCTTTCTCCAAATTCCAGGCTTTGATTATACCCATGGTGTCTGCGGTGTACAGGACACCGGTGGTGTCAGACGTCGCGTAGCCTGCGAAACGCTCGACGGGTCGTGTGTGCGCGGAAATCGAGCCAGTTGAGACCAGAGGTTGTGCAGACCGCACGTCTGAGAGATCCCTAGTCCGTCGCATAAGCACGGGAGTAGCGAATGGGATGTGCCGAGGACGTACCAGAACCTGACTGTCTTGTCTGAACTCCCGGATACGAGGAGATTCAAGGAGGGGATAATAAAAAGGCCTTTGACGAAGTCCGTATGAGCAGCGGTAGATGAGATCACCTCTTTGGTCTATATCAATCATAGAGGATCGAAACGTATATCGATTATGATACGCTGGAGGGGCGCACCTGGGTATTCCATACCCTGATTGTCTATTGGTATTGGCATTGATCAATCAGAGGGACTCGACGTTGAGATGCTGTGATTTACCTGATCCCAAGAACCTGTGATCAATATCCTGCCATTGTCGTGGAGGACGAGCGATGTGACAGGTCCGCTATGACCTTTGAATATCTTGCGCGTCTTCCCAGACTGCCATTTCGTCATGAATAAACAGAGGTTGACTAGATGACCTGGTATCCACCCACCTCCAAGTCGATTAGCCTGGCTATGGCGTTGCTCTCGGCCGTCCAGGCTCCCGATCCTTGAATAGTGATAGCCAGAGGCTTCCCGGGGACCTCGATAGGGGAGCCGAGGGTCTTGGTCTTCTCTGCCTTACGCTTCCGAGCCTTGCAGGGAAGGTATAAGCGTCCAGGATCGCTTCAGCCTCCCCAATAGCGCACACACTTCTTCCTGAGCTAGATCAACCTCTGCTCTGAGGAAACTGGAGCCTGCTGTTGTCTGCATGGTTTGAGCCTCTTTGTTTTACACGACGGAGAGCAAAAGGGTAGATATCGATGTCCTGCAGTCAAACCAAAGCGTGCTGAGCCTGGTGGCACCTGCGATCTGACTTTCCCCCCTACGCCAAATGATCGAGGCCCAAGAGAAGCACTGTCACATTACGCGGTCACCTAAGATCGTTGTCACAACCTCAGCGCATCGTATCGCGAGTATATCACAATTTCGCATTGAGATGAGCACGTAGTGAGTACAATTAGAATTCTACATATTAGCCTTATTTGTCATTGCCGTAGTATTCACGAGCAGTATTCGGCGTAGCATGGGGTTGTTGGGGAGTACCAGGCTTCGGTCTATGTGTGTCCACCGCGCCGATTGGCAGAGCGTAACTAGGAGCAAAGGTCACCGGGATAGTCATAGAAAGTGAATTCCATGCGTACCGTTCTTCGTCACAACCGTATGCTTTAGGAGTCAGCTTGATAACAGTATGAAGGGGAATCTTGATGTAAGGCAGGTCCGCTTGAGGGAGATTATGGAAGTAGGCATATCTACGACATGAACTCAGTATCCGCATACGAGTGTACGGTTCCTGAACTTACAAGCACCGAAGGATGGCCTGCGCACGATGTAAGCGAGCGCGTGTAGAAAACACTCTGGGTATACTCACCTGATGCCCGATGATCAGGATATTCTCTTGTCGTTCCAACTCCATGATAACGGGTTCCAAGCGCACGACCACATCGCGGTATGATTCTCCACCTGCCACAAGAACGTCAGAGGGGTCATCAGCATTCGATGCAATGCATACCTCGATAGCGGTAGTTAAACTTGTCTTCATCTCGATGAGCAAAATCCTCCGGATACGCTTGCTGGGATGGCCAACCGTCAGAGAAATTATGAGTATGCTCGTTATAGAAGATTACCTCGATTTCTTCGTAAGTCATTCCATCACAGACACCAGCATCTAGCTCATCAAGTGATTTCCATGTCAGCTTATTGTAAGGCAGGTACTGTGCCGTCTGAATCGTGCGCTGTAGCGTGGATGTCCAAACCTGCAACAGGGATGATTGAACTAGGACCCAGAGGAAGGAACCAGGACTTACAGTCAGCGGCGCGTCGCCAATGTTATCTGTAATCAGAGCAGGTAGCCCTTTAGCGTATTGCATGCCCCTGGGTGACAAGGGTGCGTCGCCTCCGATCTTCCCCTCAACATTATATTGGCTTTCTCCGTGCTGTGCAAAACTCAGTCTGGATACGTGCCACTAAGACCGCACATACTCTGGAGAAGAATATACTTCTCGGCTTCAAGTGCAAGTTCATCAGGTAGAACGCGATTCGACTCTGCAAATACCCGTTTATATGGGACACCGTAACTTGATTACCGACGTCGGTGATACGAAGGTAGGATAAGTGCGGCTCTGTGATTGTCTCATATACCGCTTCGTACTCGCTGATCCGACGCAAGAAATCACGTTTGGCGTCTTCTCGGGACATGTCTTTGTAATCAGGATCACCGGAGCTGACTTTGAGGGCAACGTTTGCAGCAATGATTGCTGGATCGTTGCAGACAGACTCCAGGAAGATGACTGACATCCCCTTCTCCTTGGCCACGCGAGCCTCAATCTTAGCTCTACTCGTGGCATTAGTAAGTACTCGATATCAACTCTGGAATAAGTCACACCTGCGACTCCTCGTACTATTCGTAGCATCTTGGGATGCGGGTGAATGAGACGGCGATAAGGTGTGCTTGAGACCGACGTACCGTGGATCCCCACGTTTCCCCCATCCTTCAGCCATTGGATCAGCATTTCCAAGCTGTCTTCCGCTAGCTGATCACGTCTCCGAGTAGCTTCTTCGTTGTTGTGACTGAAGAATTCCGCTGTGTGATTCTCCCGGATGCCTGCCCTACGAAGAATGCTATAAATGGGACGACAGGATGATGCAGATCAACCAACTGTTGTGCTTGCTGCCTTGCTCGAGTACGCCTCAGCTGACCCACATTAAAGACCTTGGACATGGTTAATGCGTGTCGAGTGTGGTCTTAACGATCAGTTACCTTCACATCGTACTCCAACCACTGTCAGTGAGTATTTAATCAAGTCACAGTGCTACACAAGAGTCCAATGAACACACTTTGAGATATCTCATGAGTTTATTACTTAGGTATGACTTTCCCCGTGCGGGAAGCCCAACCTATTCTGGTCAGGATGATTATTCAATGGCGGTTATTGCATGCTTACCATAGCCAGTACGATCTTTGCCTCGGAGTAATCGGGCTTAGCAACTGAGAGGGGTTAATGTAGTAGCAGTCAGACCAGCCTGCTATACATACCCTTGTTACCGATGCCGACGACAGTGATAGGAGGAGTAGAGGACTGGGATCCTTTACGACTCGACGCAGTAGACCGATCGAACTGTTTCAGCCTACCTCATCATAAGCCGCTTTCCTTCCTAAGTATATCGGAGTACATACATGGGTCCACCTGCGCCAAAGGTCGCTGGAGGCGGACTGCTGACCCTCGAAGAAACCGCAGATTCGCTAGGAGTCTCCATCTCGCAGTGATAGGAGATCAGAACCAGATGTAGCCACCGAGAGCACCAGATGATACCGTGGAAGATTCACTCGTGATTCTTGTGTGTTGATAATAGCACGGAGTGAATTGGGTTCAAGTAGAAGGTGAAAGGTAAAGGTAAACGAAGTAAAGACCCCTCATCCCCAATCCCCGCCACCCCCGGGCCAGAGGCGGGGCACGGGTCAAGGTAAAAGCGCTCGATAGGCCGCTTCTCGATCGCGTGAAGCCTTCCTCCGAAACCCTCGACTTACCCTCGACCATTACTCGTCTCTAGACCCGGCTTTCTTTCGTCCGTCTTGCTCTGCGGCATGAGTCGTTTAGCTTCGTTCAAGGGGCCGTCGACACCGACGTCGTCGCCGGTGCGCGTGAAACAAGCACCTTCATCTCCCGGTCAATCTCCGTCCAAACCGTCCGAATCACCCTACCACCGCAAAGTCAGGACCCTTATGCTCGAATTACGGACGTGTGCGACCACCTGGGACAACATCGCTCTGATTGATGGTCTCAAGGCTGCGAGCTCGCTGGTAGATGCTAGGACGGAACTCGAGTGTGTGTCGACTCGCCCCATCTGACTTCAACTCGTAACCGCTTGGCTAGCAATACCCTTGGTCTGTTCCCACCGGGTAAACAACCGACCTACCACGTCGTTGAACCCAAGATAACCTTAATGGAGTCCCGGATCGCAGACTTGGACAAGGTCATCCTCAGGCTAGTGAGGGCGAAAATCACGATCGTGCTCCTCCTGGACCTGATGACCTTCCTTCGCAGAAGAAACAACTCCACAAAATGAACGTTATCATTGAAAATCTCGAGGCCATTCTGTTTGATGCCCACAAAGTGCGTGGCTGGCAATGGGCTACCGAGGAACCGCTCTGGATGACATGGCCATTGGAAAGATTTGGTCCGCAATCCTCTCTAAGGAAACTGTCTGCTTCTGATGATCTTCTAGTCTCGTCTGCTTCACAAATACTGGTTCCTTACCGGCGTTCTCTGGAGATGCATATAGACATCGTCAATACCCTCCGGTCGCATTCAGTCCCATTCGAGACATCACGTTCAGCGATCGCAGATTGGGCTGCTCAACCGCACCTCGATGAGGAAGGCTGGGACGCAAGATGGGAAGAACTTTGCTCCGTCGAGATAGACGGATGGGATTAACCCGAGCAGTAGTCATGGCGGGCGGAGAAAAAAGCACAATACAGGCTATACAATACAGAAGCGCTACAGTCCTAATCTTCATCGTCCGATATATGAATCTCATCCGCATTAACCTGCGTTGTGGTTTCCTCGGCCTGCGATTCCGTTATGTTGACATTATGTTTTGAAGCCACGAACGCTGGCGCTCCCTTCACACCGCCGGCCTGCCGCTCAACAGCCACCATAGGATCAGCCGCATCCGCTGTCTCAGCATCTGGAGACTGTGTGCTGTTCTTCTTCGTTGCCATTGTCTGCGCAGCCAGGTACGATGCTTCCGTATTAAACTGGGCTTGTACGCTGCGCTTGATCCGCAACATTTCTCTGAAGGTATCCTCGGAGCCCGTTTCGATCTCGAAAGCATTCCACTCTGCCCAGAACTCTGGATGTAATCGTGGATCGCAGAATTGCGAAGCATGGGCATAGATGGCGCGGGCACGGTCGATCTCGCCGAGCTTGCGCTCTAGGTTTGCAAAGCGCAAGCACATCTGAGCAGTCTGACGGTTCGGAAGAATCTCGATGGCACGCTCGTATATCGGTCGGGTTGCTGGAAGTCCGTAGTTGGCCGCGGCTTTAGCGATGTATAGCGTGAACATCTGCAAAGCCGTCGCGTTAGCGAAGTATAGCCCAGCCTTTGCGCTAGACTCACCTCGAACTTGTCCTCGTCTGCTATTACTTGCGTCGCGCGATCATATATGGCCATGGCACGTTTCGCGAGGCCATACTCCTCTTCCAGCTGGGCGTACATGAGGAAGAGCGGCTTGCACGACTTCGGCGGACACTTCTCCAGGGCCTGCTCGAATAAGTCACGCGCTCGTTCGAGTTTTGAGCCACCCTGCACGAGTGTGAGTTCCTTGAGAGCACTAGGGAACAAAGCACGCACGTATCGCTTCACAAATTTAGAGAGGTAGATATTCCAGATCTCGAAGGAGATAGGGAAAGTAAATAATTCCACTCCTCGCTCGTAAACCTAGAACATTTCGATCAGCAGGCGTTATGAGGATCGAAGAACAGAACATTACCTTGAAACTCTCCTCAAAGTAACTGTGTTCCTCAAGGAAAGCGGCATAATTTACTATGATCTGAGCATTCGCTATCCGTAATTCTAGGATCTTGTCGTAAACGGCCTTCGTGGACTCGACCGTTCCAAGAGACTCCTCGAGATCGACGTAGAATGACCAAAGCTTGAGGGATTTGAAAAGACGCATCTGGACAGGAAGAGACTGGGACATTGTGAGATACATGTTAACTGTGAACTTCTTGGCACTTACGTGATCATGGTAGTTGACCTTGGTGTTCTTCGGTATAGCGGCGGCGCGTTGCATTACTCGAATTGCTTCATCGTAATTCCTATAGTGAGGGCAACAGTCAGGGCCGGATGAGAGGGTTTGCTCAGTGCAGCTTACTCTTGCCGCAGCTCCATTTCTGCCCATTCGCACCACACCTCTGCCAGGTCTTCCACTGTCTTGAAGTTGACCTTGGTAGCCTTTTCGAGAATTTTACGGGCACTGTCAAGGTCAGGCTCCGCTTGGCCCTGCGTACCTCCCTCTTCGTAGAATTTGGCAAAGTTGACATAGAGTCTGTATAAATTCGCCGTGGCCCTGCGAGGATTGATGGTCTCGAGCGCTTTCGTATAGGTTTCGGCGACCTGATGAAGGTCAACGTCAGTCCCAGACATCATCCAAGGAGAATATCAGATGGGTGAACCTTCTCATCGTCGTTACCCCACAACGCGATTCGCTTCTCCCATTCTTGGACGTCGTTTGGATTCCGTCTTAATAAAACATCATTTACCAAAAACGGCCGGCGGTCCATGAGCTCCTCAAACTCCTTCATCCTTGTATCCAGTTCAGCTTCCGTCTCCTGGACGTCTTCTTCATCTTCGTCCTCGTCAGGATTGGCTATGCTCTCCATCATAGCACTGATCAGCGACTCGCTGAATTCTGCGTACGCGTCGAATATTTGGGTGAAGTCTCGGATGGTCACGACCTCTGCCATTCCCGCCTCGAAGGTAGCCTTGGCCCGTTCAAACTCGCCGCGCTTGATCCAGTACGTCGCCAGTCCGCTCCATAGTCGTCCAGCTTGGTCTCTGTATACCTCCAGACCGTCCCGATGGACAATGCGCTCTATGTTGAGCTTCCTAGGACTAGCCGGATCCTCATCTTCGTCATAGGGAGTACCAGGCTTGCCATCGGCTGACACAGGAACTGCCGGTCCGCCAAATCGAATCAAGTTGCCTTCAGTTGAAGCTGGCTCCGCGTCCACGGCTGCAGCTTCAGCCTCTTCTTCAACCCGGTGGTTCTCGATTGTGTCTGACACGTCAAGCCCGACCTCTTCGGCGTATTGCTCGACAACTTCCAGCCATTCCGTTAACAACTGGTATGGGCTCTTGCCTTCAGGACTCGTGTATTCTCCACGCGCCGCCTTACGTGACAGTGACAGTAGCAACTTCGCTGCCTCTAATGGACGAGGTGAGGGGTTCTCCGGTGCTAATAGAAGAGATGTATAGTGTTCTGTCACCGAGGGGTCGACAGCAAGGTAACGACGGTATACCGCGACCATTGTCGACCCGCCTTTGGCCTCTGCCCAGAGAAGATAGCGGACCCATATACGATGGTGGAGAGAGGGAGGTAGTGTTCGCAGTGCACGGTCGTAGGTACGTCGACAGTGGGAGTGGGAGATGGGAGGAGGGCACATCGGGTGATTGAATATAGAGAGATACATCAGCCATAACCTTGGCATCTTATGCGTGACCATCAGACAGTACTGTGGAAGAAGACGCATAGACGTACTTTGGGTAGCCACATTAATGCTCTCTCAAACGTAGCTATCAGCGACTTCCACTCTTCCCAGCCCACTATACCGTCCAATCCACCTTCCCATCGTTCCAAGTCATCTTGTTCGTCCTCGAGGGCCTCTTTCATTTCAGGGAACTTCTTTTTACCTCCGGCCCTCCTACGGACCACAGGCTTGCCTAGGACATAGTACATTCGCGTCTGGAGATACGACTTCCATAGCTTGAACATGCCAGGGAACTGGACGAGAGCAGCCTCATAGAGGTAAGTGAGACGTTGAAGGGCTTTCCGAGCGGTAGGTGAAGCGAGAGGGCCTAGTACAGCGGCTACTTCGTCTGATACATCCAATCGTTCCGTCTTCTGGACAGCATTGAAGGCCTCTCTTGCGTTTTGGATAGTATTCCACCAGTGTCGGAAGGATTGAGGGTTGCGTAACAAGTCCTCCTCTCGGTTGACATCTTTCGTCGAAATAAGGTCGGGATGCGTGGCAGGAGTCGGAACAGGGAACGTCAAAGGGAACAAGGCGGCTAGGGTTTCTACGGAGGGCGCATCCTTCTTGTCAACCGAGGGCATTTTTAAGACTTTGACAGCGTTCTAAGTAACCGCAACGCCAGAGTGAAGTCCGAAGACAAACCAGACGCGCTGCCGCCACAAGTGAAGTTCCCACGAATACCTTGCTTGCGATCGCTGCGAGGGAATAGTATCGGTCGACCAACACCACAAGGATGGTACGAGCAGTTTAGCCTCCCCCGCAGCGCGACTCATCAATGCGCGTAGCATGGCGCCAGACGTACGCGACAAACTCCAGAGGCCATAGCAGCTCGCAAACAACGAGAGCAGTCTAAACTGAAGGACTATCTATCTCTCACTGAGGATGTTATAGCAAGAGTAAGCTGGAACTTAACCAAGAGGTCACGGCTAATCGACCCGGTCTGCAATTTAGAGGAAGAAGTCTGACTGGAGCAAGGATTCTTTCGATCTTACGACTCGAGTCCTCCAGATCAACCCGGAATTCTATACGGTTTGGAACTACCGGAGAAATATCATGAGCTACGGGTTATTCGTAGAAAGGTAGGTCGGAAGACTGCGCGTGGTACGTCGACAGTATGAATATTCCGATTACCAGCTCCCCGGAATCAATCAATGACCTCCTCTCGGATGATCTCTCAATGACTACGATGGCATTGAAAGCGCACCCAAAGGTGTACTGGATCTGGAATCACAGGCGGTGGTGCTTAGAGAACGTCCCAGATGGTCCAGGTGACTCCCATGACTGGAAGAAAGCAAATTGGAACAGGGAGCTCGCCGTCGTAGAGAAGATGTTGGACGCTGACGCACGGAATTGTAAGCCTTATTCAGATAGAAATGTCTTTCTCATGCTGGTGGACGTTTGCATAGTTCATGCTTGGAATTACAGACGATACGTCCTCGCTAATATGCCTGAGCGGCGTCCCGAGGCCGCCGAATTAGCCTACACGACGCGAAAGATTGAGGCCAACTTCTCCAACTTCAGTGCATGGCATCAAAGATCGAAAGTATACACATCCCTATGGGAGAGCGGGCAGCTGAATCGGGAGAAGTCCATACGAGACGGTAAGCCAGTCAGGTAATACTTTGACCCCCCTACGCAATAATGCCAAGTACATCCACATCTTTGGAAGAGCTTGAACTTGTGAAGAACGCCATGTATACCGACCCCAACGATCAGAGCGCATGGCTATACCATCGATGGCTCATTGGCTCGGGTGCGTCTCCCGCTCTGTTCTCGGAATCAGCTCAAGAATTGAGTATTCGCTTGTACAGGGAACGATCGCGAGATACTGGAGAGTGAAATCACGGCTATCGAAGAACTTCTGGAAGAACAGCCAGATAGCAAGTGTGAGTTCGTTCGTCTCAGTTACTTTCTTGCTCTAAGTCCGCGACTAGGGTGCATCGAATCCCTGGTGCACTATAAGAGGCTCTTAATCAAGAACCATTCCGCGGAATTCGGGGCTGAGCAGACCAAGGGGTTGTTGAGTCAGTGCGTCAGCTTTCTCCTGCAATTACAGACCTTGGATCCCCCAAGAAGGAATATGTATCAAGACATAGGTCAGTGCGCGAGCATCTCTTCGCCGCGCTCCCCTGCTCATCCTCAGCAGTAGATACTCTGTCCGCTACTTGATCTCACGTTATCCCTGTCTCGGTGCTTCGCGATCCAAGCGTCTCGAACAGAAGTCTGTTGTTTTCAAATGCTATGTTACGAGCTCCTGCAAGACACATGCGACATTTCTGGACCGCGACGATACAATACAATTCCCTTTACTTTGTTTTCTACATTTTCTGTGCATATTTCAGACTGACACTCATCAACCCACGCGAGAAACAATCATGACGGTCGCAGCGCGTGATCTAGCACTTGCACTCGCCCGGCTTGCAGGCGCACCTGAAGAAGTTGAAGTTAGTCCCTGTGCGTCTATTGACCGCTCCTGTATCACATACTGAGCACCGCAGGCAGAGCCGCAGCTGCAGTTGGCAGAGCCACAAGCCTGGTTCTTGACGACCTCGGTAGTCTGCAGAGGAGCCATACCTGGTCAGTCTGCAGAAATGTACAAAGGGTCCCTGTTACGCACAGCGAACATGTTTGTTGTAGAAGAGGTTAAGAGCAGGTGAGTTGCTTCGATAAGATGAGTAGTGTTTGGGATCCTGGTTTCTACGGTCGGTGTGCTCCGTATTTATGCTGTCTCCTATCTGTTTACTCATGTTTGTTTCGGTGCGATTTCTCCAAGTTGTGATCACAACTCACCACAGCTCAGGCCCATTGGTCCAGATCTGCCGTCTTCCCGCTGGGACCTTCTGTGCTAACTATGGATGGGCAGCTGTCCCGTAAGGCTGTCTGATACAGCCGCTGTGCAACGCTGGTCGATCCGTAAATCTCCAAAAGCGTCCGGAACACCATAACAGGTGTTTCTAGGAGGCATTTCTGCCATGTTCGCTAGCTGATTCTCTGTGAATGACGTAGGCTCGTGACCCTCATCAACTTCCAAGCATCTGTGGCCTTTTCCACGCATCTCCTTTAGATCCCGCAGGAAGGTTTGGGAGTTCGGTATAGCGTCGGGTTCACTAGGTTGCAGCGGCTTCTAGCTGACGGACCCGAAACCACTTCGCGCGCTGAGCGATAAGATATGCTGGGCTTATCTGATGGCCGCCGCGCCTTCAGAGTACTAACATCTGAGTTGCATCACACTTGCCAGTTAGAAGCTGGTATGAATTCAAAGTCACCCATTCAATAATTCAAGTGATGTATGTGTTCTTGCTCGGGTATACTGAGCGTTCGCACGTTGCGTTCGCCCTGAAATAGCACGGCATGAAACGGCTACCTCTGAATTGCTGTAGAATCGTCGTTCTGTCCGTGTCTTTCTCGGACACGTCATGTCAAGGTGAGTGCAGTTGGCTCCGATAGCTGGGGCCCAGCCGCAGCTGCCGCTCGACAGAACGGCAGCGGTTCGCAGCCATGCCCGGCTTGAATTGTTGCCGTATGTCCGATCCATCTATCTGAGAAAATGACATGGCACTGATACCGCGTCCCGCCTTCGCCAGCTGTGTGAATGCGCAGCTGAAAGCCGCATTCAGCGTTTATCTCGAAGTTGAGGGGTTTGTGCCCGCTACAGCGTAGGTGCCGCTTGTCTCCCCAACGGCCGAGATGCTACGCCGACCATCCGGGTTAATCCTGCTAGATCGAATGCCGTATAAGCTGTGTGAGGCGGAAAGCATATGGGGCAGCAGAACTGGACAATCGATGGTTGTTCATCAGGTATCTCGTCCTACGCTTTCGGACCTTCCTTGAGGTGTCCCTGTGTACTGACAGGAGCTCTGGCCGTATTTTCCCCAAACATCAGGACCCACAGCTGTCACGCTTCAAGGAGGAGAGTATAACCAGCGAGCGTCCCTGTCACGTTTGCTTTTTCCGCACTTTGCGCCAACTGACTGTCCCTTAGATGTCTAAACAAGCTAGCCCAGGAGGGGCCCTCCAGTCCAGATACCCGCATGCAGAACCGTCGCGGATCATTTGACGGGCATGTTCCGAGGGATTTGTGCTCGAGTCGGGTTGAAGGTCGATTTGCATGCCTATCTTGCCCCAGCTCTAGAAATCGCTGAGTAGGGGGCTCCACTTACTTTCTCTCCTTGATGAGATATTGCGGCTATGCTATCTCCTATCGCTGAACCCCGCCTCCGCTCCTCGCTTCCTCGGGGCCTTTAATACGGTCAAGTCAGATGATACTGGATGTTACTTCCTGTTGACGGGGTCTCAAGAAATCTCGCAAGTGCTGTGCGATGCCCCAAGTAGCACCGGGAGAGCTGGGGTGTCATTTACAAGTGTGCGATGGTCACCTCGGGTTCGTTGAAGTCATCTAGCGTGGTTCGAGGGGGTAGATATCCCCCTTTCCTGATCCCAGGGTATTTCCCGCCTCCGCTGTTTTATCTATGCATGTTTGGATTCAATGCCCTTGTGAAGTGGATCGAACCAGACCAGATAGCAGTCGTATGTGGCAGTCGATCCCATCCGTCCCGGTGTATTTGCCATGAAGGCACATCTCTGAAGCATTCATTATGACTTGATGTGCATTGTTCAGCCTGCAGACGTTTCTATATGTACCTGTTATAATAGCGAAGGACATCCATTCAACTTAACCTTATGCCGAAGTGTCCGGGCGGCAGCCATTGGACGATACAATACATGCGCGTCGCTGGGATCGTCTATACTCTTGGAGCCCGGTGATACTCCGGCTATAGAAGCATTTATCTCTGCCCTTCGTCGCACTTTCGTCGGCTCCCCGCGCACCCTACTACACCCTCTGTGTGTCCTCGAACGTGGCCGAAAATATGTGTTCGACGTTACCGACGCCTGCTATTCTCTCCTGTAATATGCCGTCAATTCGTGAAATAAAGTGGGTCACAATGCGATTTTGGCTTGAACACGTCTTGATGCATGCACGAACAATCCTGTCGATTTGCCCATTGAGCTGTGGCGACCAATGAAGGTGCTGCGGCAAGTTCCGCCCTCCCTCGTGTCGGCAATGAGGCAGTCGCGCACAGAGCTGAGTAACTTGCAGTGCGGTCCAGGGTATCCTCTATCCCTCTCTCCCCCGTCTCCTCTCTCTCTCATAAGTTTTGTACTGTGTTTTACGTCTAATGGACCGCTCAGACAACGTTCCCCAGCTCTTCTCGAGGGGTTCGACTCCGCCTGGCTCCCAATCCCAACTCCCGCCGTACGGTCCTCATCTGCCTCCATCCATGCTATCGCAGCAAGCACGCGTATCTCCCCCTCTATCTCTTCATGAATCCACACGCTCCTCGCCTCCGAACCATCTTGATTCCTTGTTTCAGAACCTCAACGCTGCTCCGGCTGGCGGGAGCGGAATTTCTTACGGACCGCCTGTACATAATAATAACTCGGCGCCTGCAACCCCCATGTCGTCCATGACGGCGTCCTCAGCACCGGGTGCCGCGGCTACGGATAGACAGAGCGCCTTATTATCTCTTCTGGGGTCTGTAGGCTCATCTGCTCCCGCTGCGCCTGAGGCTAGTGCCAGTGAAGCGCCCGCTCCCCAGCAAATTCCTACACCTCCTGGATCGGCTCAGAGAGCTGGTTATGCAACCAGCAATGAGGCCCGGGGCAACTTTTTGCTGGAACAGCTGATGTCAGGGTAAGTCGCAGTTCTCAGTGGTGGGAGCGCGATAGTCTGCACAGTGTTGCGACGGAAGCTCTCGCGGAGCTTGGCTGTTGACTTTGGACGTGGATCCAACGGACTGCATGCGGTCTTTATACAGCCCTTCCTGGGATCGTGCTTCAGTATGGCATATATCTAACAATTTCTCAATAGTAACGCACCGCGGTCCGATTACACTGATTCCCAGCGCAACATTCAGCCTTCGGGCTCCTCTCCTAGCTATATTGATTCCTCGCTTGACACGCCTTCACACCATGAAAACGACATATATGACATTCTTGGGGCCTCGTTTGGTCCGCATGAGGCTTCCCGTGAGCCTGCTGCGCGCCCGTCACAATATCCTGCCCAGCAACCTCCACCACAACCTCCTTCCCCGACACGGAAATCTATGTTTGATTTTGTATCTCCATTCGACGCACTGGCGTCCTCGTCTTCTTCGGCGAAGAAGAAGCCTGCCCCCGCTGAGCCGCCGAGCGAAGACTCCTGGACTTCGGTGTCTGTTTCCACGGACCCCAAGCGGAAATCCGTCGAGAATCTTATGGACCAGTTGACAAGGGGACAGCCACCTTTACCGGCTCCTCAACGGGCGCAGGCACCCCAGAGCTCCTATGATCCCTACCAACGCAGTGATGACTCTTCCGCCGCTGAACAGGCCGGGCCTATCTTGCCTCCCCCTCCCTTGCCTCCGAAGCCAGCCGAACATGTCTCTCCTCGAGCGTCGCCCCCGAAGGTTGCTGCTCAGCATCGTCAACAACAACCCCGGTCGACTGAGTCGCCCCTGGGCCAGCCCGGAGGGCAAGGAAATGGCCCACCCGGGCGAAGAGACAAGGAAAGTTCTCCTGTGCCTCGATCCAAGAATGGTGGGCATGACGGCAGAGGCGGTAAGGCTGCTGGCCAGCGAAACAAATCTCGTGCAAGCCCTGGGTAAGTCTATCCTGTCGTACATCCTGCTATCACGGTTAACTCCTACTTCATGACTAGTCCTCACACCCAAAACATATTCGTCGATGTCTCTCAGCCCTTGGACGAGATACAAGCCCCTCGGGATGCCGTCAAGTCAACCGCCATAGCCCTCGTGAAAGTTGATTCGACGTTCCTGCCCGGTACGACTATAGGCGCTACGCACTGGGTAGCATATGCGATGACCCGAGGACGTATTCGCGTCATATCCAGGTCAAGTGGCGATCGTACGCTCTTGCAACTCCCTCCTATCTTCCCCCAGTCTACGGCTGTCACCGACATGGCGGTATACCGCAACAGGCTGGCCGGTGTGACGTCCGATGGAGGCTTCGTGGTTTGGGACTTGCCTGAAGTCATCACAGACGATGTTCCGTAAGTGGATTGTGTCATATCTGTTCCCACCTGGCTTAACGTACGGTTACAGTGGTCAGTTGTTGCTCTGCGTTTACCCCTCTAGCGGAGCGGAGGCGCTACACAGTGTCAAATGGCATCCGAAGGACCCGGATACGCTGGCCGTCGCGTCGGAGAGCAAGGTCTATCTCATCAACATAGCGGATGCTGCCCATGCCTTTGGTGGTGATCCTATTTCTCAGTCCGAGCTATCGCGCACGAGTCATATCTTCAATATGTCCGCGGTAAGTCTGGCAAAGCAGGATCTCCTTTGTTTTACTGAATGATTTATCATAGCCCCTCATCTCCTTCGACTTCGACGTCTACAACTATGCAATTGCTACGATTTCTGAGGACTCTGCCCTGACGTACTGGAGTATTCGTGATAGACTGCCTTTCTGGTCACAAAAAATCCGAGGAGAAGACCTTCCATCTTCCATTACTATAGTGGACAACGGAGTTGTCATTGGCCGGAAGAACGGTACCATTTTCCAGCTCCTCCCAATTATGAGCAAGAACGTCCTTTCTTCTGTCAAGTTCGTAAATGGGGACAAGGACGACCCTGATATGTTCGGCCATGCGAATTATGACTCTCGAATACAAACTCTCTGGATTGCCAACAACAGGCGGGATAGTATGATCGCGCTGAAAATCAATATTGAGCTGCCCGAAACTCATGCCAACGGCGACGAAGTGAGAGGAGCTTTCGACCGGGTGGTTGAGTTCGGCGGACCCAAGCCAACTATCCACTTCGTCATCCTTACCGGCGATGCCGATCCTCACGGAGACGAGGCCCGTGCTGCTTGCGTCGCGGCAAAAGTGCCCCCGGGAGAGTTAGCGCTGGTTGCGTTTTCCGTTCACTCGGGTGGTGTCGACCAGGTGCTGATCCGCAAGGAATGGTACGATTCGGCCCTCGCGAGTGTCTCCTCTAGATTCCCGACATCTGTGCCTCCTGTTGCTGGGCCTGCAACTCGCGGCGATATCGGCAGGAAACGCCAGGTTCAGTCTATCCAAGATGTCCATGGACCTCTGCAACAGTCCTATGCCGCTCAGTCTGTCGGTCTGTCCGCTGCTCCTGCCAGACCCAGAACCCCTCCATCCGAGGAGGTCGATAGTGAACAGGCTCGCGAGGAAGGCCGTTTCCAAGACATGAAAGGGAAAGCAGCTAAGGGCAAGAGCGTCGGCTGGAAAGACGGTGACTCTGGCAAGGAGAGGGCCGGCAAGGAAGAGCAGGCACTGGCTGATCCTTCTGTTCCGAGCAACATCTCGAAGGAGATGAAGAGGATGGAGGAGAGCCTCCATACCCGACTCGGCCGGCTGATCGGAAAGGAGTTGGATAAGCAACGTGTGTACCCACTCCTTATCAGGTTGGTTTAACCCGGTAGCTGAAGTAATTCTCCCAACAGACCAACGGTTGGAGGAAGTCAGGGTCAGCGAGCAGGCAGCTGATTTCGCTAGACAAGAGAAACTTCTGAAGCTGATTTCGAACGAGTTGACAAAGAACACGACTCGCGTCGTGGAAATGGCGGTCAAGAATGAAGTGCAAAATTCCGTCCTGCCGTCTCTCGAGAATATCACCAAAAATGAGGTCAAGTCTTTGGTGAATGGCCAAATAGCAAAGGGCGTTTCAGACGCCGTGAAGCAGGTACGCTGTTCGTTCTTCGTCTTCAGCTGGTTCTGAATCTCCGTCCGTAGAGTCTACCAAACGAGATTGAAAGGATGCTGTTGCGTCCTGACGTTTCCACTCACTTCGCTAGGAACTTCTCTTCAACAGTCACGCCGATTATCGAGCGTCAGGTCAAGGACGCTGTTACTAAGACCCTCATACCGGCTTACTCGCAACAGACCTCTTCCATGCAACAAGACATATCTCATGAGATCCGCTCTGAGCTTGCAACCCTCAGGAAGGACATCATGTCATGGCAGACCGAGACACTGCGGGGACATGAGGTACGTGCGGCCAGTGAAAGCTAGCGGTCCAAGTCTAATGTTTGCGCAGTCTCTGATCAGAGAGCTCGAGCAAAATGTCCGGACCCTGTCTGATCAAGTCAAATATTTGAGCATGAATGCTTCCTTGAGCGTTCCCTCTAGCCATCACGCCCTCCAAAATCGTGCCTCTCCAGTCCCCAGTAGTTCACAGACTAGCCTCCCTCAATATAATCAATCTCATATGCGACAGCCGAGTCTACCGACCGCCTCGCAGTCGTCGGCATACGCTCAGAGTCATGGGCCATACCAACCTCTGGGTCCGTCCTCTGTCCCTGGACCATGGATGCCACCCAACATCGCTGCCCCCCAAGCGTCCCACCCTATCGCACCTCCTCCGCCTCCACCACCTCCTGTCATCCGACAGACGCCTCCTGCCACAAATGAAGAGTGGGATGACACGTATCTGGCCGTCCTGGGCACTCAGGATCCCCGACAGCTGCGCGAATTGCTGGCGCGGTCCAATCCTGAGGTTATCATGCCCCTGTCTGGCCCCAGTCCTTTGTCGCAAGCGGTAGTCCTGACACTTGTCCATCGAGTGAGTACAGCGGCGTGTATCAAATGTATGTTCGTCTAATGTCCCTCCAGCTGGCCGCCGCCGTTGGCGAGACGTCCCCTGTCGATGAAAGCTTCAAGTCATCTCTCTGGTGGCTGCAGCGCGCCGCCTCCATCCTCAATACCAATGTATGATCTTCTTTCTGAGCTTCATACCCAGCTTCTGATCTCTCCATACCTAGGACCCTCTAATCTCTCCATACATCGCCCGCGTGCTACCTAACGTCCAACAGATGCTTAATACTACAAGACAGCGCCTTTCTATTCTCCCCGGTGGCTCGCCTCAGCTGCAAGACTCAGCTAGGGTGATCTCCGATGTTCAGGACGTCCTCAGTCGCAAGCCGCTGTAGTCGTTCTCCGGAAAGTTTTACTGCTCTGTCCTTTGCCGGTGGCTTTGTTGATCCAAGGCCGCACCCTTGTTACTGAATCTTGCTTTCTAGTCTCGCTTTGCGCACGGTACGAATCTTACGAGTTCGATGAACTGTTACGTCTTGTCTCCTTACGATGTTATACCAAGTCTTCGATAGACGGCGCTCGGGCATGTTCTGTATACGTATTACCACCATGTTCAGGCATTATTCTAGCACTACGGAGCAAAAAGAAATATATACAATGCATATTGGAAGCCCTTTCTATCACACTCCTGAGAACGGCCATCATATCTGAATCCCAGTGCTCTGAGAGCACTGACATCGAGGGCCGGAGTGATGCATCGGAGGTTAGAAGGCTGCGACTGACATTCGCCGAGTTGCCCACGTTGCGGGCCCAAGGTCAGAAGCTGAGACTGATTCGTCCGACCCGTTCTTTACGTGCAGCAGGCTGCGGAACGACGTACGACCACCGGCATCCACATTCGACCTCCCTACTCGTATCCTTTCTGTCCTTGAACCTCATCTAATTCCGAACTGAGCCCGTTCAAATCCTCAAGCACCAGTAGTATATCATGGCATCTTCGAAAGGGTGGTTTAACCTTGAGGCCGCGTCAAGCGTCATCCCAGACAACCAGTTCTTCGAGGGGGACTCGGCGTTTTCGTTCCTGGGGTTGACGAGGACGCAGAGGCTGTATGGCTTTGTGGGATGGTGAGCGCTACGCCGAGCCCTCTTACACAATGACACTGACTGCTGGCACGGTGGCGGGGCCATGCAGTCTCGTAACGGGTTTCATACTGAGTATTATCGGGTCGGCGTTGCTATTCATTGGCTTGCTAGGGAGTTTTGCGCGTGAGTCGCCGGAGGCCTTGCTTCGTACGGGGTTCAAGTTCATTGACCTTCCCACTTCGCATGAAGTGCTCTATGTCTTGGGCACAATCATTTCGCTCGTCGGCACTGGATTCTTAATAGGCGTACGTCTATCCTTTCTCTTCTATTGTTCAGGACTTGACCATTTGTGGAAATGTAGTTCTTTAAGCAACTCAAGCTCGTATGTATAATCTCGTTAGCGTCCTCCAACGGTGGACTGATATGCTATGGGACAGATGTTCAAGCCCGTCCGAGTGCTCGCCACGATTATCTTCCTCGGGTCTATAGTGCTGGTCTTCGTAGGTGCCTTCGTCATAGGCAGCGACGTACGTGCGCTTTCTATTCTCATCCTCACTACGCCACATCTTGACCATGCGTTCAATCACTGCAGCTTCTGTGCATCCGTAAGTTCCCTCCTTGCGTCTCGCCTTATTTTGCGAACCCCCGTGCTAACCTGGTTTCCTAGTGTTCGTGATCATCGAGTACCTTGCATACACATGGTACACACTCTCGTACATTCCTTACGCCCGGACGGCTGTTCTCAAAATGGTGGGCATGTCCTAAGTGTTGTACCCTTGCCTGTCCTGGACCGCATGTATGCCATACCCCTTACGGCTGTGTACAATATTCTGTTATGTCTGGACCTTTTTTCGGTGGTTACGGTAAAATCTGGTCATGTCAGTACTCACCCAATAATGCAATGCAAAATCTAATGGTGCTGTAGAACAAGAGTGGTGACACTTTCTGAGTCATTTATCATACAGCAACTGGGTTCTGCATCTTACACTGCCGTTATACATATACATATATAATCATGCTGTTGTAGTACACATTTAGTTATCTTCCAACCCGCTTTCTTAGTCACAGACGGCTAGCTGGCCTGAGAAGACGTCAGATATAAGTGCATGGCTTTACGACTACCAAAATGTAGGCAGCAGCAGACATACCTCATTCACTCACCCCCTGAAGCTGTTCTTCATCTCTCGCAATGTGTCCATGATCGAGCCCTCAGGTGTGCCTTGGGATGCTCCCGTGGCACTCCTACGTACCTCTTGCATCAGCACTGGCGGTTGCAACACTAGAGCCGGAGGGTGACTCACAAGATAGAACTGCTGGTCAACCTCATGAAGGGGTTCCACTCCTTCTCGTCGCCGATGGTGGTCAACCCTGTTGTGATGTCGTTCTTCTTGACTAACTCCTCCAGCCTACCGAGCGCCTTGTTTTCGGGATCTACGCTCTTGGCAAAGGCAAGGTTGCCTTTGGTATACTCGTGCCCATTGAACACAATGGTCTCCGGAGGCAAGGTCGATAGGTACGACAAGGCCTTGTTCATCTCATCCCCAGTTCCCTCGAAAAAGCGACCGCATCCGGCGATGAATAGGGTGTCGCCGGTGAAGACGCCTCCTTTGTGGGGGGAGGAGTCGGTAACGTGATAGCAGATGGAGTCTTGAGTATGGCACGGCGTCGCGAGACATCTAGGGGTGGAGATGGATGTGGGTCAGAATGTTAAGTGCAGAGCACAGATGATCGGCTTACTTGACGGAGATGGAGTCGACCTTGAATTCATCTTTGTCCTTGACGAGGTTGGTCAATGCCGGGATCTGTTTGCTGCCTCCGTAGATGGGGGCGCCAGGGTAGGCTTCAGCCTGGACAGACGCGTCAGGCTACCGTACCTTGACCTATTAGTAATCAAGCTTGCTACATACGAATTTCTACTTCCAGCGGACGACGGTCAGCAAAGTTTAGAGCAATTTATTTATCAAAGCAAGCCGCAATCACCTGGTTTCCACCGCTATGGTCGTGGTGATGGTGAGTGGTGATAGCTGCAACGATCTCTACACCGAGTTTCTGCGCAGCGGCCTGGACCTTGGGCACATCGTACGGGTCGACGGCGGCGGCCTTGTTTCCCTCTGAAATAATCAAATACGCGTAGTTGTCCGAGCGGACAGGGACCTCGACGATGCGCATGGCGGCGGGGACAGAGGAGGAGAATGCACGCCTGGCTGTGGCTGCTGTGAGTCTGGAGAGCATGATGGCATTGGGCCGGCGGCACATGCTTCTAATAGGCTTGCCAAACTGGGATTGTGGCTGCTGCGCGCTGAGACTGTGTTGCAGTGGGACGGTGAATCAAAACATCAGTTGGTCAGTTTCTCTGGCAGTTCTCGCTGATGCCTCCGGCCACCGCCTCGAGTTACGTCCCCAGGCTACGCTGCATGCAGACGCGAGCGCTCTCCTTTCTTCCGACCTGTACATGCCGACGACTTGTGCTGGGCACGACGACTCCCCGTGTCGGACAAAGTCATGGAACACAATCCAAGCTCCTGCTCAAGCTGGATTAAGCGCTACGCGGTCTTCGTTCTTGCCGCTGTCTCTGGCGATAGACAAGTGAGGCGGACCTCTGTCTGGCTCGTACTGCGACTGACAACCAGGGATCAACTAGAGTAAGCGGCAAGAGGGAGACCCCGAAGAGGACGACCCGGAAGAAGGGCTTGCCTCTGACATTTCCTGCACAAGACATTCACTGGCAGGTATGGCGTCCTTGAACAAATCGTACATCTGTTTACTCACTGCGCAGCTAGTTGGCTGCCAAGGCTTCAGTCACTCAGGGACTGTGACACCCAACAGCACTTCTTCCTCATCTATATCTGCAACAATTCCAGCACCTAATACGACGACTATGGGGGTTACATCCCCATCATCCCCGTCTTCGACGGCTGTAAGCGGTGACAGTCCATCCGAAAGTAGCACTATGCCAGTGGTCTCGTCTTGCACAGCAAGTCCTGCGTCCGGTGAGATTTCCCATTCTGCACCAGCCTCACTGTGTATATTGATACCGGCACAATTTAGGGTGCAGCACACTATCGACTGACTCTGCGCCCAAGGCACCGTCCACCATTATTACCTCTTCGTCTAGCTATTCGTCCGGAGCAACGGCATCCATTGGATCGTCTTCGATTATCTCCACCCCATCCGAGTCCGGGCTGTTCCAATCCGGCTCCCAGGATCTCCGTGCCGCTCGTACCAACACAGGTGCCATCGCGGGCGGCGTCGTAGGCGGGGTCGTTGCCCTCCTTGCCGCAGCCACACTCCTCATCTGCCTGCGGCGCCGCGCGCGGCGGAAGCGTATCCCGCCGTCGGCAGAATTCATGGCATACTCCTACGCTCGGGCACGGCCGGGAACACCGAATAACCCCATGTCGATGTACTTGGTAAACAAAGACTTGGAAGAAGCGCCGCCGCCGTTTGAAGCGTCGTCGTTCCATGAGCGGATTATTGAAAAGGCGCCGATTGCAGCAGGGCGTGCCTTGTAGGGCAAGGGTCGTGCGCATGTCTAGTAGTAGTAACTTATGCATTGCGACGGGGGTGAGGGGGAGGGTTGACAATGATCCGAAGAAGTGCGGATCGGGGCCTCGTGCGCAGGAACCTATTAACGTGCTTCATTGCAAGGGAACCCTGCCCCTCAATCCCGTCGGTTTCCCTCTTCCTTGGACCTTGTTTCTTCCTATATTGCTATTGTACACCAGTTCCACTTCCAAGTCCGTAGGTAGCACCTGATAGTCGTGTGTCTTCTAGTTCGTGATTTCTCGTTCTGTTGTACACATTACTAGCTGGATCATTACCCTTAACCTGTTGTTTATTATGTTCTTGGCACTTGAAGTGTCCCTCCTTAGTCTATAGAACATGCCCGTAATATGTAGAATTAGTAGTGGATGGTCTCACATGGGTACAATACTCAAGGTCTGTACATCTAAAGATATATGGGATAACATCGGAACATCCACATGTCCGTATGGGCATACATATGACACAGATTTTAGAATACGACTTGTCGGAACGGCATGCTAAACCTCTTCTAAGCATATGCGGTCGCGAAAAGAGCGAGGTGAGGCCGAAACCCCGCTCAGTCGCTCAGGATAGCCTGGACAACATTAGCTACCCTCAACTGCCGTAGATCTGTATACGTCTATGCAACATCCGGAGTGAGCAATCTGATCGGACTTCGAATATGCAAATGCACCTACCTGCCCAGTGCCGACAAAGATGATGGGTTGTCCTGTAACGTATGTCATCGACAGCGCGGCTCCAACCTATCCGCAGAATAAGCATGTATAGCCAAGAGGTACCTCATTCATTCAGGGACTCGCCTTATCATCAACGGTATCCCACTTCGTGACCAGCATCCCGTCAATACCACGTCCCTTGCCCGCACCACCTGAGGCAGCTGAGAAGTCTCTTAAGGCTCTGTCGAACTTCGTAAGTTGATCAACTGCTTCATTGCCTACGAGGGCCTCCCCGACAAAGATAATCTTGTCCGGGTTATTCACGGCAACCAACTATGATGCCGTCGCACGTTAGTCAACCATGAACAACGTATAAGCATAGCTTGACTAAGAATAATAACAGTACCTTGGCCAGAGCACGCATGAGAGGCTGGAGATGATCATCAGTCAACACGATCCAGGACAACCTTCCCAGGTTCAACAAGACGGACCTCGTTATCCTGCATCCGCCCCGCCGTATCAATCAGGACCACGTCAAAATCATGATCTTTGGCTAAAAAGACAAGTGTGTCAGCTGTACTCCCACTATTAGCAAAGACCATCTCCGACAGACCGTAGGTTATGGCCTCCTTCGCGATGGCAGCGGCATCTTTCCCATAGCCTCTCTCGAAGAGCTCAACTCGCCCCTTGCTGTCAGTGGCCCCGTCCACGCCGAGCATACTAAGGTTTCGGACGTGGACACGCAGCTGTTCCACAGCGCCGCTCCTACCGACAGCAGTCATTTGCCATTAACGCAGCACTGTACACGAAGGTTTCGTGATACGCACCGGAAAGTATCACATGCGGCGATCAGCACCCTAAACCCATTTTGGATCAGCCAAAAGGCGACCTTGCTCAAGTTCGTACTTTTCCCAACTCCATTCACCCCAACGAATGTCATGCTGTAAGGGAGACGCTGTTGAGTAGATGGCAACGGCGAATTCAGCTTCGTCCGGATGGAAAGCAATAAATCCGTTGACGTTTTGGGCGTCAATATGCGCGTTATCGAGTTGGACAGCGCTACGCGAACGGCTGCGTTTATGGCTGAACCGAGATTTCAGAGCTAGCACGCCTCTCAGTAGAGATTTGTACACATACTCTGCAATCCACCGATTTTCTTGCCCACCAGGCCCTCGCCTACACCCTCACAGACCTTGTCAGCAATGTCCTTAGCGACATTTTTCTTCATGAGATGCTGCTTCATCGCCTCCAAGACAGGCTTCAGGTCGTCCTCCGTAAGCACCTTCGAACCCGTGAAGCGTGCAAACAACGATCCAAGGGCTCCTAGAGACGAGGTGGAGGACTGCGCTTTCGGCGCACTTGCGACACCATTGGCTTTCAGGGCCTGCGAGATGACTGCGTCGGTAAAGTCGCTGCTACCCTTGCCGAACTCCCAGTCTTTGATCTCATATAACCCGTCTTCGGTTCTTGTCCCGAGGGAGGTCTGGTCAACCAGAGCGTCCAGGTCAAGGTTCTCTGATCGCCCATTGCCATCTGCAGAGGACTTATCCATGCTGAAGTCGAGTGCGGCCATGTCAGTTTCGCTAGGTGCCGATTCGCCCCACTTTCGCTGTTCTTTTGCCTTTGCTTTGCGTTTCGACCTGGACGGCGTGTCGGAGCTGTAACATGATCTATCAGGACCGCAAGTTATATAGAGAGACCGAATACTCACTCGGAATTCGGATGACTTTCTCTTCCGCTTCCTGACTCCACTCGTCCGAGGCCACGCCCCCCTCTCCGGCCTCCTCTACCACGCAGGCGGCTCTTCAGAGCATGAACGTTCCGTGAAATCTGCTGCTCGTCGAGATAATCCGAGGCAGTCTGAGATGGAACTGGGAAACTCTGATAAGAAAATACTCATGAGGGATAGGATATATGCGTACTAGTGCTCTGATCGTCGGACGGGGGAGTCGAAAGCTCGGTCGCCACAGGGCGACTTACAGGAGGTCTAATGCGAGATCGGCGTTCCTGAGATACAGCATTATTCAACAGTACCAGGCTGGAAGCAATCTACTCACCTGCGCCGCCTTTTCCTCGAATGTCCTCAACAGCTTATCAAACATGTTGTCCCAGCCTTCGAACGCTTTGGAGAAATCCCAGATTGTAGGAGTTACACCTTTGGAAGTAGCAGGTGTAGATAGCTTTCCGGCATTCATTGCATGCAGAGAGGCGACAAAGGTCGCCAGGAACGGTTCAAATAGCTTGACAAAGAGCGTCCTAATCGCAGTTAGGAGGTCTTCGACATATGTCAATTGTAAGATGCGTTGGTATGCGACCTGTACACCGTTCGGACATCTCGCGAAAGCTGGCAAAGCCTATTACTCACAACGAAGATTAACTCCAGGTCGTTCACAAACGTCCATTTGACGGCATACCCATCTTTCTCATACTTCTCCGTTGTGCGGCCTTCGATAAGAGCCTCTCTAATGAGGGAGTTGACAGGGGATGCTGGAGATGAAGCGATCTGCGAGGCTGTAGGCGTGAAAGCACGCGACCACAGGACTATGCCGCCTGCTCAAAAATAGTATGAGCACCAACACTTTGACCATGGTATCGTGAGCATACCTTTGTGGGATATGGAGCAATGGTCAAGCATGGCAGGCAGGGGGTGGGGCAGTATATTTGGTCCTCTGGCAAACTTCAGAATGACTTCTGTTGGGCTTCGTATTCTGGCAACCAGCTGAAGTGCAGAGCGAAACGAGTATAGTAAGGTGCGTCTGCTGTATGTATGCCAGTGAACTCCTGGTAAGCTTGGATTAAACTGCGGTGCACAGCGCCACTTTGGCGGGCAATTACCGGATCAGGCAAAACGCGCCCTGGTTCGGCACTGGAGAAGAACAGAGAAGCAATAATCGCTGCAGCCCTTAGAGTGGATATTCTACAGTCCAGACTCAGTCTAACGGGCACATACAAACTGAGGAGTCACTCCGAGTTACATTGGTGCTAAACGCCGCCTGGCCTCGAAGGTGTTAGAGCATTCATATATTTCGGACGTACAACGAATCGAAAACTGATAGGACCTGTATGAAATGCAAATCCAGCATGCAGCGAAGAAGGCTTCTCATTTGCCTATGGTTGGAAGCACTTGACGCGCGCAAAGTACCGACGTCAGGGAGCTTCGTCCATAGTGGTGTCGAGATCTTGCTTGCTGCCATGGGAAGCCAAGATGGATAGGAAAGAACTCCAGCACTATTAGGCGCCTTCGAGTCAATCAGGCTCGGGGCCGCTGCCCGTGTCTGCCCGGTTAACGTTGAGTTCCAGCAAAATGTTCGGGGCAAAGCGCGACGAAGAACGATTGGTCACTGAAGTTCATACGGGTAAGAATGGCGGATGCATGAAGCTCACTGTCCTTGCATGGATAGCTAAAGAGTTCCTGGAATAGAGTTATGATATCGTCGGCAGAATGACGAGATTCGTACCGCTGGTAAAATTGTCGTGGGCTAAAATCAACGGGAGGCATACCGAACGGTCGAATAGGCCAGGAACAGCTCATTGTGTGTTTTATTCTCGATTAGAGTCCTGTAGATATATCTGCTTTAGATTGACCCGTCATCACGGGCGATAAATTCTATTCGGATGGAGATGTACAATCAGTGCGACCACATCCGGCCGGTCCATAGGCGGTGCGAATTACAGGACCTGGACAGAACAGAGAGTAACTGCAAATCTCTGCCTGGAAGCCAAACCGTCTCGCTATCTTGCCCGACGGGCTCACCTTTCTCGAGTTCATCCACAAACGTACTGTGATGGCTTGATCAACCGCATATCGCCACAACGCGGGTTTCTACACCCGCTACTTCCATACATCCGGTGCCAGCAGGATGTGAGAATGGTGTCTGGTAGAGGCTGCTCAGGATAAGGCGTGTCCGAGCAGCAGTGGAGACTAGTTGAGTTCGTAGCAGACTTCTGTGGAGACGTCGTCCTTCGAGGCAATCAACCCTTCGCTCCTCACCCTTTCTAGCCTTGCTTCCCATTATTCTTCTCGCTACAATGGCCTGAGCGCTAGCTTTCGTCGGTCGAGAGTCAATAATTGCGCGAAATCCAGTGACAGAGTCAAGCCAAGTCAGATTCAAATTGGCGGCCAAGCATGATATGTTCCCGGGGAGTGCTCGGCCGTCAAGTTCTTGGCTCGCTGAGTTTCCCGGTGTCTGAAGGGCTGGCTGATGTCGAAGTAGGTGAACTCAGAGGTAGAGAGCCCGGCATCGTTGCTGAGAACGAGTGTAGCGGAGATCGAAAGACCAGGATTCACAAAAAAACTACGTAGAAAGCCACAGAATCGCGCAGGATTTCTCTAACGTAGTCCCGAAGGCAGGAGGTAATTTTCTGAGCCAGAAGCAGGGAAAGATGGTGAGCAATTGAAGGCATAATTTTGAGATAAGTTGCAGGAGGTGGGTGTGTGGGTCCGGTTGCCGAGAGTCGCCAGCCGAGGACCGGGGGACCACCCTGATCGATGGCGTCCGCTCCCAGCCGTCCGCGTCGTCGTTGAAGGTTTCCTCTTGTACTGGTAATCCCGTCTTCTTGCAGTCTTCGACTCTGTATCGCCCTGTGGATTCTTCTGTGGCATCTTCTGTGGCATCTGCCCGCCTGGACAAGTTAAAATAACTGAATTTTGACCGCATTCACGGTCGGTAGATCGGGTCACAGCTGGGTTCTGGATTCTTGCGTTTCGCTCTTGGTGTCGGTGCTATCAGTGGGAACTTGCAGCTTTTCTTCCAGTCTTCGGGTTTCGGTATCTTTTGCTCGAGCTATGGGTCGTTCAACGATGTAACGGCTTACTCAAAACTCTAGCTTGCGGCTTGGAGTGTAACTTTTGCCGTTGGGCGTCGTCGACTTGATCCTTCAATTTCATACGATGGCGGTGCTTTGGGGCAAAAATCTGTTCATTTGAGAAGGGAGTCTTACAGTAAATAATAACAAGTGAGTTTCATCTTGTTTCACTGCAAGTTTGTGAGCGTCGTTGGGCGTGTCTTTTTAAGTTCGCATTCTTCGTATGCTAGTCTTGATGAGTGGACTTGCTATTCTCTTGAATGTTCTTGTCTTCATCACACGAAGCTTGATGCAGGCTTTGGGAAAGTATGACAACTCAGTTTGCATACTATTCGGTGGTGAGAGATAAAGAGAAGAGACGTGCCTCGCTGTCGTCCGCTCTTTATGATGGGACACGTGACGGTCACGTTATCACGTGTTGTGACTCTATCACGGGATCTTGTTCCGGACGTGTCTTGAAGGATGTGTGGAATCCAATGCTAATACGGAATAAAAAGCAGGATGTGGGGGATACGAACTCACAAGGAGATTTGGTGCAAACTTATGGAGATGTCACCTCCGCGACTTGCCCGTGCGGGACAGGTCAACCACGCAGACACGGAAGCAAATTCGCGCACCAGGAATGACGGCGCCCGCGCAGGAAAGCAACAAGAACTGTTTGGCTGGCTCTGGTGCCTTTGCTGGCGGCGGCGTGGTATACAAAGTACCCAGGCCTTTCAGATGGTACCCCAGCTCTCAGGATAGGCCAGAAGACGGCTCTGTGTCCGAATATCGCATGCGGCGTGATCGAGATCCGCTCAATGGACTCCTTTGTTTTCGTCTCTTCGACGTGCGCGTAGACCAGATATCCGCAAGCTTTGCAGCACCACTAAAGCTGGAGCAGGATGCTGTATACGACGAGCCGATATCTAGCTTAGGTCTTCTTGCGCATCAGAGGCGCGTAGGACAAGCTGCGTTTGCAATGCCGTAACATTCTCGGGTGTCTCCAGTTACCCAGCTGTCGGCGGCGCAACCGCTGGCCCCCTTAGTCCCGGAATAATGGAGTAAGAACACGTTATCGAAGGTTCGTTCAACCCTTCGACTCGATGACCTTGGGAATTCGCGGCGGGTCCGAAAGTGGCAGGGCCGTCTGCTAATATGCTAAGGGATCCCCACTTTATCAAATCTTTACACACGTCCGCCGTCCGTCGCATATAAGGGCGCCTTGTACCCTCGACCTGGTCTCCGTTCTCTCTCTTCCCTATGTACAGCTGAGTCTGTCCTCCTAGACTATCTCCGCCCGCTCCGAGTGCTGCTTCTTTTTATCATTAATGCTGCCCCGCATGGAGCCTGCATATCCTTCATTTACCCTAGTTTTGAACGAAGCATTCGATTCTTCTCCTCTCCCTCAGTGCGACTTGTCGTGGCACGACGACAGCGATTCATATTCCGCCCATTATCCAGTCCGCTTTCGTAATCCGCTCATGGTAAGGCACTCCGCGGGAATATCGCCCCGAGTCGTACTCACCGCCCCCAGACAACCGTCGACTACAGATATGACTGCAATCAACCCGTACCAACCATGTCATGGGTACGTGACGCGCCACGGTCAGCATGTATCCATGTAACGCGGTATTCAGGATGATTTGTGGGAACCCAACCAGGAAGCGTCTAACCTCCAAGTAGCATTGGACTTGAACAAAGGAAAAAAGACACGAGAGTCTGCGAGGCGTCGACGATTTTCAGATTTGGTTGTGGCGAGTCTTCTGGCTAGGCTCGAGGGCACGAATCGCAGGCTCACATTTGTGCACCGTAGGATTTGGCCGTTGTGATCAAAAGGAAATGCTCCGTGCGCTCCCTGCTGAGACAACGAAAGGCGCCCCTCACGACGTTGACCAACATCGATCTTGCATCTTGAATGGACGGCTGGCTATCTTGGAGATGAGATTCTCTTTATACACCCTCTACGTTTTTGGTAATGTACCATAAGATGTCCTACTTTCTGCTCTCTCTGCTCCGTTTCGTTGATAGTCGAGTTTGGATAGTAAAAGCTACGTAGTAATGTCCCATAGTGAACCGGATGATATGCAAGCGAATTATACTGATACAATTGATAAAAATTGTTCTTCTGGGTTGAAGATAGCAAGAAGCCTGAACATGGCCCGGTATATGGATGAGTCCTGAGGCCAGAGGTAACCAAACCCAGTGTATGCGGTCTGCGATGTAGATCCGTCGGAAGCGGGAGTTATACTAGGCGCTCCCCACAGCGTGAGCATTTCACTTCGCGGTCCATACTGTTGAGGCTGGTTAGCATGACTTCGTTGCGTCCAAAAGACGCGCAGCTCACAACAAGCAGCAGAGACCTATAGGGAAACATAACACCGCAGTAATGATCCCGCCAACTCCGTACTCTGCGTGCCTATCATGATCACCTCGCGCACATCGTGCTAGTACTGCGGATATCTTAGCTGTTGCCTTCCTGCTTATGCATTCACCGGTGAACTCACGTCGCTGTTGATACTGAGACCCAACGACAGCCTCTTGCATCTCAGGTGATAGCATTGGGCTTCTCATGGGCTGCACAGCGGTAGGTGGTATAGAGGCATCTGGAAATGAGAGTAAAGGTGCGCCAGGACGGCGGCGGCCCGCCTGTGTCACAGGGACCTCGCGCTCAAGGGCGGCTTGTGGAGGCGATAGTAGGGGCGGCTGGTCGTTGGGGATTGGCGTATATGGAGGAGGTCGTTGAGAGGGAAACTCGCCATTAACACCGCGTTCTGCAGCCGCTTTGTCGACGATGATCATGTCGGACAGCCCACACCGCGCAGTTCCTGGGTATCGCGGACTCCGAAAGAATGCTTCGGCCGCTGCAGCGGTGCTATGAAGGCTGCAGTGAAGACAGTCGCGAGAGGGAGAGAAGCGTTAGACGCCAATTAATTATTGTTTATCAAGCTATGCTCGACCATGGCGCTGCTCGAGGCGGTGCGGAGGGGGTCATATATTTAGAACACGCGTCTAGGGCGCGTCGGCGTATCCCGTCCTCGCGTGTGGTAACGTTCCGGAGACGCGACCGTCACAGACTCCTCATCTTCAACGTGCATCGGGACCGTATTCGACGACGGCAAAATGGCCGAAGAACAAGACGTCTATGAAGTCGGTGAGGAACAGGTTTCGTCCGATGCTCCTGGCAGGAACTCAGGGAATCCACAGAGACAATCGTACAGGCCAAAGTGGCCGTTAAGAGGGGAAAGAAGCTTCAATGGGTGCGTTTCCTCGTATCTCATGGAGATGATGAAGCCGACTGTAACCGCCACAAATGATAGAAGTACTATGTGAAAGTATGCCCGTCACTTCTTTGGTTGTTCCGCTTTACGCTCAGCTGAGAGTGTGTTCTAGTGGAAAGGATTTGACGGCGAGAACGACAACACGTACGTTCCAAGCTATGGTAGCATGCAAGACACGACTCAAGGCTAATTTCATACTTGGACGTTCCCACCCGTAGCTGGGAACCGATAGAGTCTTTTAGCGGAGGCTCTGAACATTTCTTGTCGCACTTCTGGTCGCGTGTGGACGTCGGTGGCCGGGATATAACTGATGCGACGGCTTTCAAAAAAGGAGAGATAGTGTTCCCTGTTGGTCCTCCCCGTGAGTTGCTATATAGTCCTCTCGACTGCTGTCCTACATGTCAGATCAGGTATGGGCAAGGGAAAGTCGCCCGAAAACGAAGGATCCCCCCCTGAAAAGGAAGAAGGCAGCCACGTTAGGACAAGCACGGTACGACAAACGAAGCGGGAGCCGGAAACGCCTGCCAGTACATCTCGGGGCTCAGCATCGAAGCGGAAAAGAGATCGTTCCCCAGCTCCTGTCGAGCCAAGTCCAAGGGAGAAACGGCCACGTACGCCGAGTAGCAAGGCTTTGGCTGCTTCGGCAGTTTCTCCTGCTACTAAACGCCCCAAACGGCGGTCGACCGGAGATTCTCGGAGAAAGACCGTCCCTGTAGTCGAAATGACCATGAGTCCCTCTAAGTCTACTCCGGCAAAGCCCAACGTAAGTCCACGTACAAGGAAGCGACAGAATCGGTCGCCCTCAGAAATCCCTCCATCGGTTGAGGGAGATGAGGTCGAAGCAGGTCGCAGCTTTGAGCCCGATCTACAGCATGCCACTGGTATAAGAACTCCGGTCTTCCTGTCATACTGGCTCACTCCAATTGTACTATACAGATGACGATGCTGACGGTGTGACGGACCCGGATGCCGTAGCGGGGGGTGAAGATGAAGACGCTATGCGCGTGGCGGCGCAGTTGGCTGCCAGTGGCACGTCCTCGGGTTCTTCGCAAGAGGTCTCGTCGTCGCATGCTAATCGAAGTCCCGCTGCCAAGCCCGTCGTTAGATTTGCCGCTGAGCCCTCTGGTCGTCAACAAGTAAACGGCGAGACACCGACTGAAAGAAAACAATCGGGCAAGCTGGCACTACGAGACCCTCCTTCCGCCCTAAAACAAAGTCCAAAAGGAAAGGGAACTTCATCCCAAGTTGTCGGCCCTGTGAAGGTCCCCTATAAAGGGGTCACGCCCCGAAAGAGTTCTCTCTTGACCTTCGCAAAAGGCACGTTAGCAACAATGAAGGGTAAATTCGTTCCAGAACGTCCTGCGGCGCTGGAAGACCCGTCAGAACCCCGCATTGGCCCAGTAGAATTTGACCCAGATCAGGTTCTGCCGTTCGAGGTGGTTAATGATGACGGTAGTTCAGACGACCAACTAGTACTTCAGCATTCTTCCGTCACAACGTCTGTCGAGTCGAAGACTTCGAGGGTACCACCGGCGGGTGAACAACTTCTAGAGGCTGCGGGCTCGAACTCCGAAGCAGGCGGTCTTCCCGCTTCCGAGGACGTCCAAATGCATGTCGAGCCTTCTGCGGGTGAACAGCCTGCGCCTATTGCCAATGTGTATGCTTTCCTTCAGCTTTTCATAGGATCTTTGCTGAAGAACAAGTGTCAGAGCTATTTCTTTGAACGGCGCGGATCCTGAGACCCTTGTAAGACCTTCGTTCAGTGCGATGTGGAGCCAGTCTACCATTTTTGGGCCACTGTGAGTGTTGAGACGGCCACCGAGGGTCATAATATTGACATTATCCTTTCAGGGGACTGGGTGCGAGCGTCATGCCTAGCAATTCATTGAGTGCCCCGTCATCCTCCGAGTGAGTCTCCTTAACACACGTCCTCGATAACATTGTTTGAAAGATACGCAGTGCACAGACTGTCCCTAAGCCATTCCTTCTTGCGATCAATCCTGAAACCACGATCCCAATAGCTTTCCAAGATGCAAACCTTGGGGCGTCGCTGGAGCAGTCTACACTCGATGTCGTGGTCGCAAAATGTCAGGCTAAAGGACCACCGGGAAAGCTGTACAAGGACATTGCTGTCGTAAACACCCTGACGACCAGCGGTTCGTCCGCGAGGGTTGTCCCTCATGATAGCGCGGATGAACGCCATAGGGAGCAACTTGCGGAGTTCCATAAGCTCCTGGGCGACCAACATCTTGTAGGCGGCATGATTTCAGATATGTGTGTCACGGGCTCACATTGTCACAGTTCCTGGCCGTCGCTGCGGATTCACTCCTGGCATTCTGTTCGTCCGAGAACAGGGCAGTAGCCGAAAAGCTCGGAGTCCCAGCGGCGTTGATCGGACTTCGAGAGACGATCATAGCTTCACATGTGTCCATACAAGACCACTCAACTTTCGTTGATTTCGCCGTCGAGGCGGAAAGCGTGAAATCGTAGGCCGAGGCCTGGGGAGCGTTGCACTGGCTCCGTATGCTCTCCCTGCGTCTTCACATCCATATACATCTATGTTCAGTATAATACATATCTGATGAATGCGGCGGGAGCCATGTATCGGGCAGTGTCTGTGTATGGCTTGGTCGCTGAACGACGCCTCGAGAATTCATCCCGTCCAGGGTGGCAAGGCTCTGCAAGGGGTGTCGGCATAGGTACAGTTTCATAACATCTCCAGAATCAACTCTGTTCTCTGGCCGAAGGTATCTTAGTGGTCACGATGAAGCTGCAAGTCAAACGGTCCAAGTATTGTAAGGCCCGTGACAGTGGGCGCTGATCAGCATTGAATATTGATCGTCACCACATGCGGAACCGGATTTTAGCACGCTGTGCTGATGCTGTGCCAGCCACGCTTCCCTCTGTACCCTTTAAATGTGTACGATACCGCGTCACCTCAATACTGATGAAGAGTTATGGAGGCAGCAGCACGCACAGTGCGCCCTACACAACTCACCTGTATTGGTTGGATGCTGTAGCTACTGGTAAAGCTCGTATAAACGACCCTTGTCATTAGGCAGCAGAGCTGCAGGGTTTATATACACTGTGGCCCATAGGCTGACTAAGCTACGTGGAATATCTATAATCCTACTGAGCTCCACCTATGATGTCACTGACCCACATGAGCTCCGTGCCTTTGTACAATAATGGAATATACCAGAATATTCCAGAGGGTTCCGGTATGTTCTGGTACATTGTAGAACCTGGCAGCTAAGTCAGCGCCTAGTTCAACACTCCCCCTTGCTAAGTGCCGCGGATAATCGCGCACGCAAGCGTTGGGCTGACTTAGATTACTTGTAAAACCTAAGTCCAAGTTGCGCTCTGAAGCGCAGGAACTTGACATGCCCTAAGTTCTTAGTGAACATGTCTGCAGGGTTATTCTCGCCATCGATGTAGAATACTTCAACTTTCTTCTGCTCGATGACTTCCCTGATATAGTGATAGCGAATGTCAATGTGTTTAGACCTTCGCTCGGTGACTGGATTAGACGCAAGGAATATAGATCCTTGGTTGTCACCGCAAATAGGAATGGGGCCGAGTTGGTAGCCTAACTCTTCAAAGAGTTGTCTAACCCATACACATTGGCGGCTACAATCACTGAGCGCCATGTACTCGGCTTCAGTGGAGGATAGCGCAACAGTTTTCTGCGCTCTCGACTGCCAACTGAATATGCCATTGGCTAATTTAAGGAAGTAACCGGTTTGGGACTTCCTGGTACTGGGATCTGATGCCCAGTCCGAATCAGTGCACGCAGTAATACCAAGTCCACTAGCACCATCAAAAGCTAGTGTGTAATTACGAGTCCCGATTAGATAGCGGCAGATGTACAGCGCTTTATCTAAATGGGCTTGAGATGGATTAGCAGCAAATTGCGCTAACTTGGTAACTGCATAGCTGATGTCCGGTCGAGTTCCAAGCATAATGTAGAGCAAGGAACCGATCACGGTTTGGAACCGGCTACGAAGAGTAGGATTGACCGGGCCATTGTGAGGCTCGGGTCGATAGCCTGCAGGGAGAGGAGTTGGCGCAGATTTTGCATTCTGCATGCCACAACGCTGCAGCACTTTATCAAGGTAGGCGATCTG